AATTCGGACGTTCGTACAAATGTTGACGAAACAGTTAGTTATAGTTTCGTTAAGATAATATTAAAAAAATGTGTGCATATGTAATATTTTAGAACATAGCAGCCTCAGAATTTCGATTTAATATCTTAATTCAAAAGAAAATGTTATCTGTAGTAAAAGGATAAATAATTGCAGTTATGTAAAGTTATCTTACTGAGCTTCCATATGTTGGTTAATTTAATTATTGAGGGTGCCTTAGGTGACTGCGTCACTTTTCCATCTATTTACATGAGTGTTTAAAAGGGTTAAACATTTTATGAAAACTTTATTCATAAAGTGTTTCGCCATATAGAATCGTAGGAATCCCTCCAAAAAGTTATCTAACTAAAATATATTTAAGGCTTCTTTTACGATATGAACATCATGAATTTAATGGTAATAGATTAATTTATATAATTTTCTATCACATGTCAACTAAAAATTATTTCTATGTGCCTCGCTATAAAATTCAAGTGTTCATCCTTAATCTTTAGTTGACGAAAATAAAACATTTTGAAGGGGCAAAAATGTTTGATTTAGAAAACGATAAATGATTGCTTTCGAGGGATTCTCATATTTTTAGTGTTATTTTATTATGTTGTAGATATAATCGTAGTTTAATATATACGGTCAGTAAATTTGCTACACATCGTGTTACAACAAAATATAATTTCCATTATTTGAACTGACACTAGTGAAAACGACATTCTTTAACGAGAACTTAAGCACATAAATGGGTCAATCTTGAAATGATAAACGTGTAAGCTTCTTTGAACGCCCATTTAGCGTTCTTAAGATCTAAAGATAATATCTCAAAAGTCTTATGAAATCTCTTTTCTGCGTCATAAGTTATGAAAGGTCAAATAATTAACATTTTCAATTTTATGAATCTCGATTTTTCGAAAGGAGAGCGCGTTCAGAAGTTATAGCTTATTCTCTATATTTTTCTTATAGAAATCAATATGGCATTATGAATACAAACTTGATCAAATAAAATAGCTCAAATCGAATAGGGAGAAGAAGCCATGGCCCACCACGCAAACCCAGGGCGGATTAGTCAATATTAACGACTGCAGATGCAGCCGGCACCGACAGCTTAACGTGTCTTTCGAAAAACAGAAGAGCTCACGATAATAAACTTTCGGTCACCCATCCTATAACCAGCTTTGTGTTGCTTAAAAAGTGTATCGCAGAGCCAGCGCGCTAGGCACTGCGCATTTATTTTATTATCAATTAAACTAACATTAGTTATGATATGTTCTGATGAATTGGAAAGTATACTGTAAAAATAGAAAGTTAATTTTCGTTTACTTTAAATATGTATGTGTATGTGTAAGCAGTTAGTACTGCTAAATTATACAATTACATACATAAAAGTAATAAGAGAAAATTTCTGCTGCTAAGTAACATAGATTATTTGTAAAAGCAAATAATCTATGTTACTTATATTTTATGAAGGAAATAACAAGAAAACACGTCTTTCATACACAAAACTGTAGACATATATTTCTAGCCTAGTGGCCGCCAGCGACTTCGTCCGCATTTTCCATTATTTCTTCGCTCCTAATAGTTGCAGCGTGATATTATATCACCTAAAGCCTTCCTCGATAAATGGTCTATTCAACACAAAAAGAATTTTACAATTCGAACCAGTAGATCCTGAGATTAGCGCGTTCGAACAAACAAAGAAACAAACTCTTCAGCTTTATAATATTAGTATAGAAAAACCGTAGTGTGCGAATGTACCAGTCTTAACGGCTCTTTTGGCTAGAGAGTTGCAGCCTCGTTAGGTGCGCCAACCGCTCGTTTCCCGTTTTCCCAACATTTCCCTTCACTGCTCTGCTCCTATTGATTGTAGCGTGATGAAAAATATACTATAACCAGCTCAGGAGTATGAAAAATAATTGTACCAAGTTTCGTTAAAATCCGTCGAGTAGTTTTTGTTTCTATAACGGTTATACAGACAGACAGACAGACAGACAGACAGACAGACAGACAGACAAACAGACAGACAGACAAAAATTGTACTGATTGCATTTTTGGCATCAGTTTCGATCCCTAATCACCCCCTGATAGTTATTTTGGAAATATATTTCATGTACAGAATTGACCTCTCTACAGATTTATTATAAGTATAGATAATTCACACTTCCAGCAAAGATTACAACTTAAAATTATAAATTATATTTTTAAGGCAATTTTTTTCTCTGATTTATTTTTATTATCTCTTTTATTATGCGCCCCCAAAAATTTGGCGCCCTGGGCAAATGCCCAGTCTGCCCATTTATAGCCCGGGGCCTGTTGATCCTGTCAACTGGAAGTTACTAGAAGTTTTGATTTCCTTAAGTGTTAAATATGCGGCAAAAACGGTCTTCCATTTTGATTGCTTTAACTTAAGAATTGATTGATTCACAGCTCAAAAGGATTACCGAACCGAGAATTGAAGTTTACGAATTAACATAGACCAACATCTCGACAGACAGACTATGAACGAAGCGTCTGTTTTTTCTTAAAGAATTACGAAATATTAAAAAAGCTTCTTTATTCCTTTCACAGTCTTATATCAGCACCGTGCTTAATGAATCCGGCGTTCCAGACTTGCATAATAAAAGTGCTGCGTGGTCATTGTGTTGCCATTGTGCATCTTGGCAATTTCGAGCTCCAGTTAAGCGAAAAATTTGCTCTTAACTATAAAGTCGTAAGCTTTCTGCAGCTTTCTGGCCTGAGGGTTTTTTTTAATAACATAAGAAGCAGGGAGTTGGCTACCATGCCGCACTAGCGTAATATCTTAAATAAATGAGAAAGTACTTCAGACTATTAGTTCTCTAAATAAAAATAAGTGTCACTAGATGTTATGATTTTTTTAAACTTTGATTTTTTTAATTAAATTTTAAAATACGTCGTGTTATTTATGGGTTTTTAATTCATAACTATCTTCATAGCGACTTCGCCCGCGTAAAATTTAATGTAGGCGAGCGAAGCAAAAGAATTTTTAATATCGGTCGGAGTCTATTGAATACAAACAAACAATCGAATCTTTCCTCTTTATATAATATTATTAGTATAGATGGTATTACGTAAAATAGCAACAGTAGCATTAAGACAATGACATAAATATAATTTCGCATAAATTTATTAGCATACACTCACAACCTCTACCATCAATAATATAAAGAATGAAATACTCATTATTGTACACACCATAAGTAAATGAAAAAACATAATAATGTTACAGAACAGTACAATTGGCGGTCTAATTGCTAAAAAGCAATTTTGTCCAGGCAACCTTAATATACAAGATACAATTGAAAAATTGGGTAGTTTAATGTGCATTAAGAAGTCCGTCCTAATTTCCTGCAGCAATGCATTCCCACACTACTATTACTATTATACATCTCATATTTGATCGTTTTCAAAAAGTTTTATGCTCATGTTAAACAGAAAATGGTTTCAAAATAGTTATTTTTGGGAAATCTATTTCTAGTCATAACAGTCACTTTCTTATAGAAAAATTTCGAGAATTCGGAAGATTAATATCTTCATACTTATGTATAATACCCGAGTCATTTAAAACAAAAATAAAAATAGCTTACAAATTCAAAATTATTCTGATACTAAGAAAATATCATATTCTTTTCTCTATACTTATGTAATATCCTGAGGCTGGTTTAAGCATAACATCAAGCTTTAGAACCAATTTCTTGTGGTCACCGTGGATGCGATAATTGCGGATTATATGCGTTAAGCTGGTCTTCATTGACATATAAGCATATACTTTACCTGTAAAAACATGCTTATTTATGAATAATAAAATAGCCGCAACTATATTAATGTATACACGATGAATTTTTAAGTACATTTTTAAATTTTTAATTACATAAAAAAAAAATCGTAACCTTAAATCCTCTTTGGAGACTCATAAATATTGGTAATTGGTAATTGGCTTGCTTTCTAATAGATGATAGCAATCCGCGTGCGCGACATGCAATCTTCCAATAATTTACGAAACAAGATAGAAGATCGCTTCTATTCATAATTCGCAATGCAAACTTTAAACTAATATTCTAATATAAAATACTTAAAAATTCACTTGCCTTACTCTAGAGATGGGAAATGAACCCAAAACCAATCGCAATCCGGGTGACTGCTCTAACCACTAAGCTACCCAGAAACTAACAGGGCTTACGAATTTTTCAAGCACTTTTCGCTACTACAAAGGGTATTTTTATCAATGTTCAAACAAGCCAAATAGCCGAAAGCAATATTTCCCGAATTGCGGAAGGGAAGATCGTGGGTTCGAGTCCCATCGCAGGGTACGAGGGACAAAGTGATTTTTTTATGCATTCATTAAGAATATTTTTTCAATAAATCATTATGAATTCAAAATTAATAAAATATAATAAATTAAGTTAAATTAAGATTAATTTTTAGTTTTCTAACTTTTAACTGCACATATTTGTTAAGTGTTTTTTTTTTTTTTAATTTACTTAAAAAGTCACGTTGTATAATATAAGTAGTGAGAGTGAAACAAATCTTAATATTTAAACTAGCTAGCTTTTGCCCGCGACTTGGTTTAAGTGGTACAATTACTTTGAGCAATTTAAAAAACGCCTAAACAGATATTTATTTATATCTTTTCAAGTGCCTAAATACTTTCAAAGTTCATGGTTTTATCTTGGAAAATAACGAAATTGCATACAAACGTTCATCCCTGATTTTCGGATCATACCCAATAGGGATGATGTCCAAAAAATATTTTGAGATTGTTGTTATTTTTTACGGGAAAAAAATTACGGAGATACATTAAGTTGAAATGTAATCTGAGGTGCCATCATTATACAACTTTAATAACTATCTATGTAAATCTCATTTTATTAACTGGAAGAATAAATACACATAAGTAATATTTATCTAATATCTCGGCGACGGACTACTTACGTTCAATCTCTTTCTTTGCCTGGGTTAGGCGTCATAATAACGAATTAATGCTTACCTATACACATTCGCCTGCCCAAACTGAAGCCTACAAAACAGTTCTGGTTGTCCGGTAATGTGTCCGGGCTCAGCCATCTGTCCGGATTGAACTGATCAGCGTCCGGACCCCACATAGGATGCTTGTGGATACCAAACAAAAACATGAAGCAGGTTCTGCCAGCGGCTAATGTATATTTTTCTGAAAATCAAAATGATTGATTTATAATCAATAATAAATAATTTAAATAAAATTTAGATCTTCTCCATCTCAAAATACCTGGACTGGGGGATTTTTTAGCACTTTTCATTAAGAAAATTTAGATGTTGAAACTGAAACAAGTTTTGTCTTGAAATTATTTATTTTGCGTAAGTTATGTTTCACACATATACTTTCCAGAGATATCAAAAATAACTTAATAGTTTTTTCAATGCAGTTGCTCATAAAGCACTATTTTTTTAATCCATTGTAAACACCGAAAGTGAGTCTTTGAACACGTGCTAAATAAAAATGTACTGAAATCCTCTACTGCAAACGTGATTAAAGTATTTTTTTAATTTGTTTTGGCCGAGCACCAAAGAAATTAAAAAAAAAATGATGAAAATATGTCAAACTTTAGAGGCAAAAGTATTTCAAGGAACCTAGAACGAATATTTTCAAATAAAAATGTATGACACGAAAAAATATCACGTTTAATTTTAATAAATAATTTTTACCTTTAATACATACTTAGTTTTATTAAGCTATATATTTTTTTTATTTCCTCGCTATAAATGTTGTAAGAAACTTGAGCGTAAAAGGTAAAACCTTACTTTCCGCACTCGTATCTTAAATAACTATTAATTCTGTAATTTTATAAACAGAGATAACAGTGAAATAGATTTAGTTTTTATAAAGCAAAATTTTGACACATTCAATTGTGAATAAAAACAATATATAGATCATATTCAATAGATACCTTACAATAAAAACCAATATAATGCCGTTAAAAGTAGTAACAGTTACATAAGAATAATCTTACTCAGCGACACATTTCTGTCCAGTTTCCTTGCCAGCACTGGCACTATGGTGTACATTCGTATACTCTCCTTCAATACAGCCTCTAGATAGACCAGTTTAGATATATCTTGTTTCTCGACGTCCCTGTCTGATCCTCCAAACACTTCTTCAATCCTAAACATGAAATTTACGGTTTTGATGAAATTTGGTATACAGATAGGGTGATAGCTGACTTATATAATAGGATACTTTTTCTCCCACAAAAAATTTCCCTAGGGTCCACGCGGGCGAAGCCGCTGGCGAAAGCTAGTATAGCATAAAAGAGTGTTTTTACTATTTGTGCCTTACAAGAAATATGCAATACATACTCATATCAAACATTTGGGCTTAAATTCGGCATAATACAATATTTAACGATGGCAATAAGTGAAAGATACAGTAAAGCCTTTAGCTAAACGATGAAAAGATCCTCATATGACGGAGTCCCCAAAAAATGGCAAAGAGTAAATAAATAAGCTTCCATTTCATAATAACGAGCATTCTCAACATTCTCTCTTAAAATAAATAATGTTGTTGTCTCAAGTAATGGTAATAATATTGTAGTACATTTTTGAGTCTCTAATCTAATTATAACAATGTATAAAAACTTAGAGTTCAGTTGATATTAATATATAAAAGATTTGTCTTTATTATTATTCCTTGAGTAAAAATCTTTAATGTCGTTCATTGAGTTTTAAATTAAGCCGCTAAGTATCCATACATTTGTATCCTTCATTTCGAATCAAATTGTTTTGAAAGTTCACCTATAGCTTCGTTCGTTGTACTTACTCCCGGAAAGCCTTCTCTTGGGCCTCTGGATGTGATCCCAGCAACAATAAAGTGAACATTAATACATTAGCAGAGGTGTCATGGCCTCCTACTATCATAGTGTCGACATGTTCCCTGATCTCTCTGTCGTTAAAGACACCTTTTTCGATTGATAATTCTAGTAGCAAATCCATAAAAGGTTTAAACTTAATTCCTAAAACAATGTAATGAAGTATTAAACCAAACCCCAAAAAAAAATATTATTTGTGCATTTTTAGGATTTCCGTACCCAAGGCGTAAAAACGGGACGGGACTGGAAACTGTTGAAATTATATCATAGATAACATTTTTTTTTTTACACAAAATAAATGTTTTAAAAACGTGTATTTTTTTGCGTTTCCTACTCGCTCTTGGGCGGTTTTTTTTAGTGTCTAACATTGTGCATGTCGTTATATACTCAATTACTTTTTATAAGAAACATTTTGTGATCTATTCCATAAACATAGCAACCGTTTGGGACGTCATTAAATCAGCTTAAAAGGAATTTGTGCCATCCAAAACTTGAGATCCCAAAGTTCTTGCAAGATACACTAAAGATTAGGGAACTTGGAACAGATTAGATTTGGGAACCACGTCCATCGTGGCTTTTCAACTTTAACAAGTGCTTGACAACGACTAAATAAACGTTTATAAAACAGATATATAAGTTGAATCAGAATATTTGAAGTAACGCTGTTCCTTTTAGAGTGTAGCTCAGTAGTGGATAAGCGCCGGGGCCCACGATCGTTGGAACTACTCTGTGCTTTGGAAGACAAGTTAAGTCGTTAATCGCGGCTGCATTTGCAATCATTTGTATCCTCCAATCTGCATTAATGACCCATCCTGCTTAACCGTCCAAAAGGAAAGCCTGAAGGCCTGCAGTGGGGACGTGAAAGAGCTGATGATGATGATGATATCTTTCCGTCTGTCTGTGTATCTGACTGTCCGTCTGTCAATCCGCCTGTCTGTCCATCTATGTATCTATGTGTTACGAAGATGTATTCATGAACCTTGATAGCAAGACAATTGAAATCTTTATAATATCACGGCGACCTCCGTGAACGAGTCGCTGGTACGCTTGATTTCGAGGTGAGGCGACCTGTGGAGGTCCCGAGTACGATTCCGATCCGGGTCTGAATACTTACTGAATCGTTTCAGACTTATAATCGAAATACATAAGCAACTTTATTTGGGATTGTGTCTTGACCAATATTTATTTTAAAGCCTTACCTGATGACATTCCCGTATTCCTCTCAGAAAGTTTATTACCATGAATTTCAGCTTTTCTTTTTTGGAGTACCTGTAAATTTATTTGATCTAGAACCACTAAAACCTATTAGGTTATTTTGTCAAAAAGTTTTAGATTAACGCACCATTTTTTTTTTTAAGGAAAGGAAATAAACAGCTTAAGATCAATATTTTCAAGTTTTGATGTTCACGATCACAATATTATACTTATATATATTTATCTTCTACTAACTGTTTCCCTGCGACTTCGCAGGCATAAATTATAGCCTATTACCACCCCGTATGATGTAGCTACCCGTAGGTGATAGAATCTTTAAAATCGACCCAGTAGTTCCGGAGCCTATTCGATGCAAACAAACAAACAATCAAATTTTTCCACTTTTTATTATTAATATAGAATAGAAAAAAATCAAGTTTTTTATTATAAAATCACGACATATACAATAACAGAATTCAGCTCGGTTCTTGAAAAACTCACACTCGTAAGTTGAGAGAAGTAATTACTTGAATATGTCATAATTAAAGCAGATATTTTACCAAATAAACTATAATTTTAATGAAGTAAGAGCCGTTATTAGTTAATATACTATTATTACTACTTATTCACATTTTTATTTCATTCAAATTCTCGTCTATTGATTAAAAATATTAGCCTTAAGTTATGACATTTTTCACAAGTAATAGGTATGAAATATATCTTTCATATAACAAGTTAAAATGTTAAAATTAATTTAATTTTCTAAATTTGCCGTTATAATGCCACTTCTGTCATGGCGTCACTATAAAATCACGGCACTCTGAAACGAATATCGTTCTATGTATGCATGAGGTTGAATTCTTTAAATTCTGCCCTGCCATTCTGTTAAAATTCGAAACTGAATTTGAATTCACTCGGGTGTTCGAATTTCATTCCTATGTCATTTCGAAACTCACTTCACTTATGCCACGAAACGTTATCAAGGTTTTCATCACATATTCAATAGATTAAGCGTGGATTTTTTCATAAAAATACAAAACAAAATTAATTGAATATACATGGCCAGATATTCTATTCCTATGTCATTTCGAAATTCACTTTACTTATTCCACGAAACGTTATTACCAATTCAAGGTTGAGCGGATGCCGTTTTTTGAAGTGAATTCCGACACCTCAGTTAATTCGAATTCGGGTTTGGATTTAACAGAATCTTAGGACTGATATGAGTAAGAGGGTCGTGACGTCACGCGCTGTTTGCGGTCACAACGAGTAACAAGGAGCACAAAATATTTGTTTTTTTCGTAATTAATTTATGCAATATTATAAATATGATAAGCATGGTAGTATGATAGTACATTAAATACTACTAGAAAAAAAAAATATTTCTTTCGTTTACTGTATACGCCTATCTTTACTTCGACTATCGATTCGAAGATAATACGAGGGTCAAACTGAAAGTTCTTAGAAAATCAAAAACTGATTACATTAGCCAGTTATTAGTTTTATTATATCTTTTCAAAATATTGTCCATTCACGTCAATACACTGCTGCATGCGATGGAACCACTGGGAAAAGCACTTTGCCCACTCGTCCTTAGGGGTCTCTTCAATGGCATCGCGATACGCATCCACCGCTTCTTCAGCATTCATAAACCGCTTTCCTTTAAGTTTTTCTTTAATTTTTGGAAATAAATAAAAATAACAAGGCGCGAGGTCGGGGCTATACGGCGGGTGACCCAGTAATTCAACGTTTGATGTCGCCAAATAGTCGATCGTTCGCTTGGCGGTGTGCGACGAGGCGTTGTCGTGGTGAAGGAGGATCCTACTGCGAGGTCGTTTCTCTCGAACTTTTTCCAAGACAAGTGGCAAACAATTGGTAGTGTACCATTCTGCAGAAACTGTTTTTTGATCCTCTAACACAATTGTTGCAAAATGACCTATCCTTCCAAAGAACGAGGCCACCATTTTTTTTCCTGCACTTCGATCTCTCTTCACTTTAGTTGGCAACTCCTCGAAAGGAAACACCCACTGAGCAGATTGTCTTTTGGTTTTAGGATCATAACAGTAAATCCAGCTTTCGTCACCTGTTAGTATGTCGAACACAGCATTTGAGTCACCTCCGTTAAATCTTTCAATCATTTTACGACACCAATCCACACGATGGAGTTTTTGAGCCTCAGTCAAATTATGAGGTATCCACCGGGCGCAAAGCTTCCTGACCGCTAAATGTTCGTGGAGGATTTTGTGCACTTGACTCATACCGATGCCTAAGCTTGTCCGAATCTGTTGATAGGTCACTCTTTTGTCAGTCTCTATCATACGCCGCACAACACAGATGTTATCTTCAGTCGTCGCCGTAGAAGGCCGTCCCTCACGTAAATCATCAGTGAGATTAGTGCGACCACGTTTAAACTCATTAAACCAGTTGTAAACAGTCGCACGAGATGGGGCTTCATCGTGAAAGGCCAATCGTAGTCTATCATAACTTTCTTGTTGACTTAAATGACATCGAAAGTCATAAAAAATCATTGCACGAAAATTTTCTCGTGTAAATTCATGATGACGTGACACAGACAATTTTCAATTTGCCGCCAAATCGTAAAACAAATGACAAATGAATGAAATATATACTCAGTAATATTGGCAAAGAGTTATATTTTCAAATTTTAGAATTATTTTTTTATTATATTGTTTATAAGTGGCCAGTTCTAAGAACTTTCAGTTTGACCCTCGTATGTTTCTAATACGATAATTACCTACCTAATACAAAATATCTCATTACATTACTTAGTCATGCGTGAAATATGTTGTAAACAACAGACAATGTATGGAATCGCGCCTTTAATCAGTATACTAATAATTTGATCAAATTATAGGATAAGAAATATTCGATAAACCGGTTGGTCAAATTTTAACTGCTGTAATATTACCAATTACCTACGCGAAATTATTTTTCTCTAATCTCATAATCATTTATTTTATAATGCATGTTAATTACGATCATTGGCAATTAAACTGCAAACTATTATTATTTATAAAAGTACTCGTAAAATTACCGTATTAGACATATTGTGTAAGATCTTGAGGCATCTGTCTTGAGTCCTTTTAACCTCACTCCATTTGAAAGTACTAGAACTGTGAAGCCAGAACTTCTGGAAGCGGTCCACCATTGTATATAAAATCTCTTCGGTCGCTTGCACATACTTACTGTTTAAGAGAGTATGATCACCAAAGTCTACTCCCAATGCAGTTACTAAGAAGACAAAAATATATCAAATAGAAAAACTTATTTGTTTATTCTATTTTATAATATATGTTTAATTTGAATTTTCTATACAATCCTAATACAAAAATTTTTGATGGAATGGCAGAATTAGTAACTATATTTCTTATCATATAAAGTTTTAATATTATGTAATGAATTGGACTTTGTTCGTTGTTTCTGTTTAGTACCACAAATATTATAATACTATAATGTGTAACGATTTTCAAATTAAACAGTTCGGAAATTAAATAAATTAACAAATACAAAATAGAGTGTCCAGAATAAAGTTTCTTTATCTTTTACATATTGGCAGCAATATCAGGATTATACGTAAAGACAGTGTGTAACTAAATTTAACAAAACTCACAGCATATTGTCTCCAAGGCATTATGCCTTGTATATGTCCAGTGATCAAACATTCCTTTACCAACTTCCTTTTCCATATCCTGCACAAGTTTCCTCGACTGACTATTGAATACCCCAATAAAACTATCCAAAACAATCTGACTGAATGCTGGATTTAGCAACTTCCGATGATTTTTCCATATTGATACTGCAAGAATATTATGACATATTTTATTACTTATATTGTACAACGTTGGATTGTGTGAATTTTACAATTTACTGGTATGGGACAGAGAAATCCCATGAACATTAAAGCAGCAGACCAAATGCGACGGATCCGGATTGCGACAACACCCATTTGCAACAACAGTGACCAGTATAGATTTTTTTATTTTATTTTGTAGGCACACACAGTGGGTGGTGCGAGAAATGCTCTATTATTTCTGTTGTTCTTACCCTTGCCAGTGACGAGTCCTTCACCCAACCAAGGTTTAGCGAATTCATAAAAATCGTCTTTCTCTAGACATGTATTTGCAACGGTTAAGAAGTCATCAGGATCAGTTATCGCTAAAAATTTAATAAAACATCATGGCTTGAATGCAAACATTTTATACAACATATATGTAAATGAATAAGAATGTTAAACGAGTTGCTGTCGTATCAAAGTATCTCTGAGATTGAGGGTAAAATATATTTTCCGGATCATTGCAGATAAATTTAAGGAGTTCTTTTTCGTGTAGATTTTTATTTTTTTCACAGTTTTGTTGTGCAAGTAGTTAGTTACATGACAAAAGTTCTGTAGCGAATTAATATAGGGCTAGATCTTATTTGTTATAAGGGATATTATGATTTTTGACCTTTATGATGGCCAGGTCTTACGCTAACTACGTTGAATTAACTCGATAAATAGAACTATTAATTACGTGCTAAGTATAAATATGTATGATATTTATTTAAAAGGTGTGTTTGCTCTAATAGAAAAATGGAATAGAAAATACCGTAAATTGTGCGCGGGCCTATAGCAGCCGCAACCACGCCTCCTAGGTCATAACTCGTTTGAGCCAATTCATTAACGGCTGTCCATAATTCTGCAGAAGACATTTTCAGCTGAGTTTAATGACTGTCATACTACACGATATGGAATATTTAAATTAAGATAAACGCTTAACTATTTTAAAATAAACGAATATCTCAAAGCGACTTAGTACTATGAATTTACGCAAGTTTGGCATTAGCCGTAGAAACTGCTATGGAGCTATAAAAACACTTCCTTATGGTCACATTAATGAGACAATATCTTGGGACATGCTGTATCTTTGACATGCTGTACCTACTCTCACTACGGTACATTACCACAATAATGTAATTGATTATACATAAACTTACTACAGCTATCTCCAATCAGCAGGTGAGCATGTCCAATAATGGGCAAACCGCCGGGATGCATGGGAGGTTCATTATCAGTATCTGGACAACGCCTTTGCCACAGGTAATATGATAACAAAAAACTCACAAAAAATATCAACAGAGGCACTATGAAAGTCATTTTATTAATTTTTAATTCAATTGTTTTTTTTTATTCGTTCCTGAACGGTCACTTGTAATATATCACTTATTAATTAGAAAAAAATGTTAGATTTAAAACAATTTATTAGAACGTCGGCTTCAACCAACCGAAAATTTCGACTGACTAGAATTACTAACAAGATAGTTAGTAACTAATTAATTTTATTTCGTGTTACATTTACATTTTTTTCACTATTTTAATTTAAACATTAGCGTGTTAACCTGTTCAATGAAATGCGCAGGACATTGCAAAAGTGTATTTTACACTAACCTTATGTAGGTGATTGGTTAGCGGTTATTTTTATAGTCCAAGAGATGTGTTAGGTTGAAAACAAATATCCTCACCTCAAGACATTAAAAAATTGAGAAAATTGTTCTTTTGTTACTAACCTGGTGTATATAAGAAAACAAAGAAAATAATGATAGAAACATGTTTTATTTTTCACATATTCTCCCCTTGACTCACCCTCATATCTGACGGAAGATGTGTCGCATCTCGTCGATCGCAGAACGTCAGAGCTAGCTGTTTTGTCGTGGCTTCGACCGCATAAATGATAGCCCATGTCACACGTGTATCATGTAGCTTCATGTAGATGAATATAATTAAAGATTATATTAAAAAATTAAAACGTATTTCCAAAGATTACCCCCCTTCAAAAAAAAAACAAAGTAAGAAACTTTAACTCTTTATAATATTTATAAATGACATTCTGCCTTGCACACTTGACGAAAGATCATTCACTAGGAAGAAACTATACTCCTTAAGACACTTGGTCGTATCTTCCATTAGAGTGAAAGTCACTTACAATCTATTCTTTATATCAGAGTTAACCTAACTATCACAAAATTATGTTTTTTTTATTATTTTAAAAGATTTATTAGCTAAGACTATTTTTGAGTTATGTGAGACTATGATTAATTATTATCATATGCTAAATACTATCAGGAAAGAGATAAGAAATGAAAATAAATAGATAAAAAACAAAAAAAATAGTATAAATATTGCTTAATTCTTTAATTTCAATTTATGGTGAGAGGGCTACAAACCTAATCATAGAATTTTAATATATATTATGATCGTCTACACAAATATTACAAAATCGAATTTATTATAATATAATCAATGTTTAATTATAGGCTCCAAAACTATTAGACTGCTTTTGAAAATTCTTTCACCTACAGGAAGCTATAAACGCGGGTGAAACAGGCCATAAATTATGCGGGCGAAGTATATTATTAAAAAAGTAGATTATAAGCCGTCTGCATGCCTCTGGACTATAATAAATAATCACGCCACACTCTTTACACAATGAGCCTTCAGGTTCAGGTTTTTTCAGCATCCGTTTATTTGGTCACACATCCTTTCGAGTTAATAAGATCACGAATGCGTTCGTGATCGCTTTTGCGTAGAAAGTAGACTACAGTTACTAAAGGGCAATTTCTAGATAAATATTTATCTATACGAATATTATAAAGATGAAAGATTTGACTGGTTGTTTGTTTGCATCGAATAGGCTCAGAAACCAATGAAGCGATTTTAAAAACTCTTTCTCCTAATGGAAACTACATCATATGAGGGTGACATAGGTTATAATTTACGCGAGCGAAGTCGTGGGAAAACAACTAATGTTAAAAAAGAAGATCTTTCGAGTCTTCTTCTAGTCATAATATCCTTCTTATATATGTTTCTATGATATATTTGCTTCAGAATAACTCTGCGCATTGGACAAAGTGTTCCTTCTGTCATTATACGAATTAAACAGTTTTTGCAAATGCCAACCAGTAGGGCAATGCTGTGAATGTTAGCTTAATAAGAAAAATAAAAGATTTTTCAATTAATTTCGGCACACAATTACATTACACATTTAACATTAACATAAAAGATATGTAAAAAAAAAACAAGGGACATAATCATGCACCTATGTGTAGCAGATTGATATGGTCAAGGCTCAGTACACTATCATTACTGATGTACAGGTGAAACACTGATTTTCAGACGTCACCCACTAGCGGTGACCAGGAGCAAAAGATTTCAAAGAAAAAGAAATGAAAATAAAGTTATTATGGAAAACTATTCATGACACATTCTTGTTGCCATATTGCAAAATAATAAATATACCTGTTACTGTTGATTTGTGAAGACAAGGTATGGCAAAATATAAGTAGTTGAGACTCCATTGAGATGCGATATTACATAAACATTAGCAGAAGAACTATACATTACCATATAATAATAATAATAATAAAAGAAGCAAAAAAAGCTAATACTGCATGAATAAACAAGGGTTTTTTGTCTTAGTTGGCCTTTATTTGCTTCCGGAGGCATGTTGAAGACGGGCCCAATTACACCAATTCGCAAATACTAAAATCTATAAATTTTATATTTTCTAACATCTCACCAATTAACAACTACTAATTGTTGAATGAACATAAATGCTATGAATGGCGATTAACACAACTTTTTGCCAAAGGAACGTCGTAATTATGCAGCCCGTTTCGGTCTAGTTACGTGACGATGAAACGTTTGAGTCATATTAGTGGTCATGTGTAAAAATGATATGCATACCGATACGTCCTAACTGCTTTTATGCCTTTGCATTAACTTTAACGGGAAACCCGCATTGCATCATTACCTACTTTACTTTTGAAAATATAAAATAGGTAATGTCTTAGTTTTGCCTAAATGTACGTCCCTACTGCAAGGGCTCAAGGGTGCGACCGCCTAACTCATGGACGTAGCCGTAGTCGTAGCTATAACCTACGCTTTATCGATATTTCTTATGAATCTGTTTATATTCTTTTACCATTTTATTTTTTATTATTTTATTTATATATTTTATCAAACATTTTGGTTTGTTTTTCTTTTCGAAATAGCATTGTTTGTATCAATTCGACATTTTGTAAATTTCGTTAAACTTTAATAATTCAGCAAACAAAAACAACTAAAAGCATTTATTAAATATGTTAATAATAAAAAATGATTAATTTTAAAACAATATCAACATATTCATGTGTAAAACCTATAAAGCGTAGGTTATAGCTACGACTACGGCTACGTCCATGAGTTAGGCGGTCGCACCCCAGGACTTCCTTATGAATGATTAAAGAGGATAGCCCATGATCTTCCACAGAGCCATAATGTGGATTGGAAGGTATTAACTATTGCAAATGTAACCGGGATCAATGGCTTAACGTGCCTTCTGAAATATGTATTAAAAAATTGCTTCAAAACCACGATCACGATCCACAGCGCTTATCCACTACGCCATCGAGTTTCAAAATTTAAAAGATTTATCAGTATGTCTTCACGAATAAAAAACATAAGCACATTTCATTACTAAATAAAACCTCAAATATTTAATATTTATTTTATTAATAACAAAATTCGTATAAATATAAATTAAAAAACATCTTATAAAATATATAATTCAGAAGACCACAATTAATAATTTTAATAATAAATAAAAATACATTTCAGTGTAAAAAAAATCTATGACGTGGACATCAGACCTGATTCTCTAAAGTATCACAAATACCTGCGGAAAAAATAAAATTATTTATTGCCAATGAAAAATGCTTAAAAAGGATTTAATAATTTTTCAATTTAAAAAAAATATGCATTTTTCATTAAAAATATTTTTCAGTTTGGTATTGTGAGTGCTAAATTTATCAAATATAATATTCATTCATTGTATAATTTTTTTTATTACTTTACCTATACCTCAAAGAAGATAAGAAATATTGTAATCTTTAAATATATTTCAAACGACCACAATAATAATTACGTTACAGATCAAATTGCCGCGTTTTAATATTCTTAATGTTAAATGTTACTAATAAATCAAGATTTATTTGCGGTGTCTGCATGGAGTCCGAGATAAAAGGAAGCGCACAAAAACCACAATTTATATTTATAATGTATTTATTTGTGTTGAGAAACAGAGCGCGTACCTTAAAAACTACTCCGTTCAGAAATGCCTTATTCTATTTAAATCCAATAATTAATTTAAAATAAAAAATATTGGACCAAAGAATGTAACAAGAGTATGATAATATCCGCGGTAGTTAGAATACTGAAGTGCGATTATTAATTAACGCCCACCTCCAAGCAAAAAAAAATATTTGAGTTAATAAATAAAATTAATAATTGATCATATTTAAATTTTAAATTTACATTAATATGTATGTGTGTTTGTGTGTAAAGATCATTTAAAAATGGTGTACAGAGGAAACAGAAGGAATTCAGTAAAAGCAGCTCTTTGATTTATTAACCACAATAAGGTTGGGAGGCCCAAGGGTCCTGTTAATGGGGGTGGGTGCCCTGGCGACTCGATCCCGGCTTCCCAGGTCTCATTCCCCAACAGAGGGTACACCCTAGGGGTTTTGGTGGGTAGGGGACTGCGCTTGAAGCATTTACCCGACGCATAAAAAAACGATAGGATTTTTTTTCAATACTCAATAAGTTTATTGTTTACAGTTTAGATAGTCTCACTATGGACCCTGTAGGTCACAAGAATAGTAGAAAAGAGGAGCACTAGTTTTTATTATTGTAATTTATAAGTAAATAAATAACACAAAATTATAAACTTTCAATTTCGCTAATGTTATAATTTAAACATAAATATATTACATACTTATATTTGATATTATTACTAATTGATGTTAATACTAATTATAAAGATTAGGATAAAAAGACATGAAATACTGCCAACTCCCAGATTGGTGATTTTGATTCACTCACATGTCAAATGTACTGTAGGCCCAATGCCGCCGCGTGGGCCAACACTGCCTCGGCCGCTTGCCTCGTCTCTAGGTGAGATCGTGCCGCGTCGTGCCACGTCGAGGCAGCAGCCCTCGACGCCCCCTCCAACGAAGCAACGTAGCGTACGGCCGCCGCTAAATTGTCCCTTTCCACATAGTACCTGAGTATTCAGCACATACATCGTTATCAATGAGGATGATGATTGGATAAAAAAAAATCTATTTAGTCCGTCAGTCAGATAATAGAATACTATTAGATACGTATTTCTTTTCTTCAATTTAACAAGAAATAGTTTAGATAACAGACTTTAAAGTTGTGGAGAGGGGGCTCGCTACGTCACAGTTTTGTAGAAAATTTTCAATAGCGTGACGTCACGTGATATTTAACTCATTATATCGCTGTAGTTTAATGATAACGGAAAAATTAAAAAAATACATGATGAATATTTTTCAACAATCTAGCTGACAGACAAACGAAAAGAATACAATAATAAATTCATTTATTTGGTGTCGCAATGTCTTCTCTCTCCTTCTAACTCCTCGGCAATATTGATCTGTTTGATATTGATTTAGTGATGACATGGTTTTAGGGTCCCGGTTTACCCTTTGGCTACGGTATATAGAAAATACAAACCTAGCCCTTCGCAGCAAGTCGAAAGTGTCGAGATCTTTAAATGGTTCTTGTGGTGGTTTATCAATTTCTCTTTGTGGTATACACGATAACTGCAAATAAACATATGACAGGACCATAAAATCCAAATCCAATTCTGATAAACCAAGTAACCAGAGTGAAAGTAAATATATTATCGATGACTCATTAGGAATAGGAAAGTAAGAAAAGTAGCAGCAATAAAAAGATCCCGTACAATATAACGTTACTAACAATATTTAAAAATAGAGTCCCAATATATAAGAGAAACATCAAAGTGCATATTTACATAAAGATTATATTAAAAAAAATATAAACTATTTACAAAAAAAGATAATATTAGAGCCATCTATAACAGTAACGTTACCTTCATAAAGAGCACCACCGATTGCAGCCAGGATAGGATGAATATCGGCAGGGGCCCCCCATCTGCTTCTACCATCGCAACCGCAAGAGCTGCTTTCTCCATCTGCCAAAACATAGAACTTCAATGCTATCATTAGCTATTCTAATTGTTTGAACTACTTTCCTAAGATGACATCAATCACGCTCTTATGCCACACCTACAATATTCTGTTATCCTAGTACTATGTGAACGTATTCCAAAAAAAAACTTAAAGAAACATACAAATGCGATCTTACGGTTAGCGGCTCAGAAGATATCTTGTTGAACTTTGTAGAAAATATATAAAAATACTGTAATAATAAGTATTAAACATACTGCATATCTTAAATGAATAATACCATTAGCATCCAGCTATTCTTTTGTACCATTTCTTTACTGGTCAATAACATTTAATAAATAAATAAATACTGCTCTAGAATTTTTGTCGTTTTAAATAATTTGGATAATTGTATTGTCTATTGACAGATTTGAGTTGTTCTTTGTTTTTATCGTTATTGTATGTGGAAAAAATATATTTTTGTAAATCTTAACTCTGAGCGTATATTTCCTATTGCCTATTATAACAATCCGCAATATTTAGTTTTACAGATAAATAATAATAGCTTTACGCCAGGCTTCGCCCATGTGGTCCCTAGGGAACTATTTAGTGGGATAAAAAGTATCCTATTATCTAAGTCAGTATAGCAAATTTCATAAAAATCCGTTCGGTAGTTTCAGCGTGATTGACGGACAAACATCCCCAAGCAAAGAAACTTTCACATTTATAATATCAGTTGGATTAAAACTTTTTACTGAAATAGCAACTGAAGTACATATAATACGATAGAAAAAAAATAAGCTTAAAAATTTTTTGAACACTACTCTTTTCAATCCACCTTGTTTTTTTACAAACGAATCTAGTCTCTGGGAATATAAATATGAAATACTAACTCTGTGATATCTCTCTTTGAGTACACTCTCAGGCACTATCCCTTGAGTTCGCACAGATTCCGGTATAGCTTTAAGTACTGTCTCCACCAGCTTATCACCATCACCTGAAACATTACAAATATACATTAAACGTACCAAACAGACTGGCATATCTATCTCTTTTGCGTATATTAAAAATAAATATGTAAATAATACTTGAAAAAATCCTGGCAGTCTTATTGGTAATGTTTAAGTAAGTAATAACTAACTTTTACCCGGGACTTCGTCCGCGTTGTATATTTACTTTCAATTATAAACTTCAGTAGCAACTTTTATCTCCCCTTTCAACCCCTTTTTGTCCATAAAATTGCGATTAAGTGCCAAATTATATTAAATTATGTTTACGCGTAGGCGTGAAAGCGTAACAAGACAGAATTACTTTCGCATTGATAATATTTGTACAGACAACAATAATAATAATTCCATCATCTGAGAGAAAATTCATAAAAAAATAAGATTTATATACCCACAGAAATATACTATATATAAATCCACTTTGTCCCTAGTAATCTTAGATTTTTAGGCATTTTTCATTGGGATTTTTTTTCAGTATAACATCCTTTCCAACAATTTTCTTTATATCACAATTTTCTTTATATAATAACATCCTTTCCAATAAAATTAAGGTACATGGTAGTATTCAAGTAGACAACTGTGATTTTAATGTCAACAACCATGAAAGTGTAAAACAAGTCTACACTGTAATAAGTCCACAGAAATCTCCCTCACTCTGGACGCAGACTTTCAATCAACGTAAATTATATGTTACCCTTGGCCTTTTCAATAGCCTTCAATTCCTTATCAACTCTGACGAATGGATCTCCTTTCTGTGTGGCGGCTAGGAGGGACGCTCCAGCTGACCAAAGCTGTTGTGAGCGACGCGTTTCTTTCTCCGCTTTCAGTCGAGCTGAAATAAGGATAAATCCTACGATATAAATAGTATTGAATGAAATAAACGTGTAAAATGCTATCTGCGCAAGTTTACAATATTCCGTAACTTCTATAACTTTTAGTGAATAAAGCTGCTATTTTTACGTCTAATTTCTATAATTGAAATTTTAAATTTTATGTGTATGTACAAAAAAGAGTAATCTATCTATTTTGTTAGGATTCCTAATGGGTAAAAACGGGATCATGTTATTAAAATTCCGCTGTCAATTTATCTGTTCGTCTGTCTGTCACCAGGATCGTAAGCTAATGTCTAATTATAAAATTGACCTTGAAAATTAGAAATATATTGCATTAACAATGTCGTGAATTTAATATTATTAAACATTAAAGAATTCCATGGCAATTCTTTAAAATAAGCCTTCAAACCATACCTCATGAATATATATATACAGTTGAAATTTTAATGAAATTGCGATGATGTACTTCTGTATTTCTGTTGGCACTGTAACTATAAATTAATACTAAAAAAAAACGAATAAAATAAGTATTTATGGGTACATGCTCGTACAACATATTTTTTGCGGAATAATACGGAACACTTTTTACGTTCGCACTTCTCGCACTTGGAAAGTTTTTCATAACTACAAGTTCTCAACAGGTTTCTGAAGAAATTAATCTTTAACAAATAAGACTAGCTAAATTGGGTTTGGATCTACAGGGTGCGCTCTTGTTATATGGATATCCGGAAAAAATATAAATGATTATCCCATTAATCTCTTCATAATGGATAATAGTGGGAATAAAGATGGCGATTATAAGACACTTACTAATCACACTAGTGCGGCTGTAGGATCTATAAGGACGTCCTCGATGACCGATTGCCTCGCACACGAGTTCAAAGGTGTCGTAATTTTTTATTCCCATATCCGGTAGGGTCAACGTAGAAAACTATTTTTTCTCTATTTTCTCGGATTTGAATGTTGTGCTACATTCCTTGTTTCAGATTTCATTAAATACATGATTCGCGGATGACATACGGCCGGTTTCTGAATTGAGAAAAGTACAAAATCTCAACTGATTATTCTCAATATCAGTTTTTTACTTTTCACAAGGCAAAAAGTCTAAGTTTTATCAAACGGCTATCAACTGAAATCAGAAACGGAAACCTGTTTAAGGACAGAAGTGCTTAATTTTAAATACTCAATCCAGAAAGCGGAAGTATATTTATCTGTATTTTACGCTAGCTAAAGTGCAGGAAAACAGCTAATAATATAAAAAGGATAAATAGGAGTGTTTGTTTGCATTGAATAGACTAAAGATAGTGGACCGATTTTAAAAATTCACCTAGTTATTATTATGAGTATCTTAAGAAAATATAACTATATCGAAAGCAATGCTAACGTTTGATTCCGACGAATTCCATGCTTGCAACACTATATTTCCTAAACGGATTATTCAAGGGTCTGTTTTATTATTCTATACTAATATAATGTGACATAACATACCAAGTTCTAATTTAGCATGTACGTATCCAACCAATAAAACGATTTAAGCACGACTTGGCTTACCATAGCTTGAATATATTTTAAAGAAGAAATATTTGATTTCTTGTTTCATCAATAGGCTCCGAAACTACCGAACCGATTTTTTTAAATTCTTTCACTTACGAGTAACTTCATCATACGAGGTTAATATAGGCTATAATTTACGCGTGCAAAGTACACGGAAAAACTAATTTGTAATAAAGGTGTTTGTTCCATGCAAATGCACTATGAAATCAGTGGCGTTGGATTTTGTAATAATCTTCATTCCTAACTGTATTAAGAGTCTAGAAAAGTAATAACTTGAGAACATGTCATAATTTAAGTAGATATTTTTACCAAATAAATAAGAATTTGAATGAAGCGAGAACTGTTAATAGTTATTAAGCACTCGTATCTATAGTCGTAAAAGGTAAATATTGGATAAAATGGGATAATTTCAGATATTTTTAACAAACAGACGAGAATCTGAATGAAATAAGAACTTTAATAACTAATAACAATAGTATTCTTACTTCGTTTAAATTATTATTTACTAGCTTTTCGCCAACGACTTCGCCCGAGTGGTCTTATATTATACATAAAAACCTTTTGATTCACCCTATCTATGAAAAATAAAAAGCATCAAAATGCGTTGCGTAGTTATAAAGATTTATGCATACATAGGAATATAGGGACAGAGAAAGCGACTTTGTTTTATACTATATACTGATTTATTAAAATATTTGCGTAAGTTTTTACTTTTACTCCACTATAGATACGGGTGCAAGGGTTGGTTCTCATTCTACATATTAATATTTTAACAAAGGTCTTATTACATGAAAGCTTGACTTACACCAAACTTCTTACCTGATAATTTGTGCCTAGATAACTGTGTTAAATACAGTATTTAAGTAATGCTACTTTAACAATTGTTACTAAAACAGACAATTAATTTCCATTAGTTTTTGTTGACACTGGCAATAATTTAATGGCAGTTAAGTAAAGGGCAACCTAAGTCACGCGGAAAACTATTCCACGAGCAATTTACCAAGGTCAATTAAATACCTTTACTGTCCTTAACTAATTTGAATAAAGTTGCGAATAATACTCAGCTGCCTGGAAATTTTTAAGTGACTAAAGCAATTAATGAAAATGTTCCGTTACCGTTGAGTTTATCTTCAACGACTTTTAATTTAGCAGCCATTTCTGCCAATTGATCGGCGAATGCTTTCTTGCCTGCTGCGACTTTCTCTGCCACCAATTTGTTTAATTTCACCGTCGTCTGCGCAATTGCAACAAAACTATTATACTTACGCAGTTAATCTAAACCTTAAAGAAGTGTATCAGAAGACAGTGTATTATATATGTGCAGGTACATTTTAAAAAGTTCATAATCTGAAATCATTTCTAAAAACACATAACTAAATATTGGTAAACTCGCAAACTAATTAGACAGGAGAAATAAATTCTTTTCATGATTTACGAAACAAGACAGAAGATAATGTATTCATTTATAATTAGCAATTTAAACTTTTAACAAATATAGTCTATATTGAGACACAAATAACCATCAATAACTTTATAATTATTTTCATAAATGAAAAAACTTTTAAACGGTTTCAACGCTTGTTTATTGATGTTTTAGTTTTATTGATGTTTTGGACCCTTTACAGGTTCCGTGTTCACATAAGACTATAAGGTGTTGTTTGTCTTTTTAATTAAAAGTATAAGTTTATAAAGTATATAAAAGCTACCTTAAAAAACCAATACTATTGGACACATTCACAATACGAAAAAAAAACGTAATGGCAACGTTTACATTTATTCATTTAAATTATTTAAAAAATACATTTGACTTATTTTTTTTACCCCTGGCTACCGTAATCTACCACCGGTTCTAACTTACGGTACGGACAGAATAGATCATAATTTTTTTAGATGTACTAAAAATTAACGTAGCATAGTAGCCAATAAATACTGGTAGATTCATGGCGGAGTGGATTCAGAAGGCACAGTTTCCTATTAAAGAGCAGGTTATTTGACAATTTCTTGGTACAAAAAATTTTTTAATACAGACAATTTTGGTGCACGCGCTCTCTGAAGATTTATGTTCCGATGTCCTGGGATAGATGAACGTCATTTATTGACGTCGAAAATAACCCCATCCGGAAGTTATATGTGCTCCCATCTCAGTTCAGTCTTTTTACTTAAGGAAGAGGTTTTATATTACACATTTCAAACCATTTTATACTCCATTTATTATAACATTAGAAAAAAAGAGGATCATAGAAGCAGGAGTGCAACACATTTTATTTTCAAGACAAATTAAAAAAACAAATAATCTCAATAGTTTTGTTAAAAAGTAACACTATTATTATTGAACGATATCAGACTACCTAGTATTAAAGATTCCCTTCTTCACGCAATCAAGCGTTGAAATAGGGCTGCCACTTTCTGGCGCTGGTATATCTTTGATACATTAACAAGTTAAAATCCTAGTGTGAACTGAAACTTCAAGCTTATACCTTATTTTAACAGGACAAAACCATTGATTGACAAATTTATAAGAGACAATTAGATTATTTAATTTAAATTTATTACTAAAAACAAACTAAACATTATTATATGTAAAAAGATAATTTGTTTTAATAACATAACACAACACAACTATTAACAACTTAATCACGGAAAACGGCGAAAACAACAAAAAATTGCATTAACAATGAATGACCATCACAGATTACCTATTTTGACAAATAAGAATATATCATAATATGACAAATTAAAAAACAGTAATGCCGTAACGTATGAAGGGATAAAGCAAAATTTTAAAATCGGAAGAGTTATAGTGAAATAAGAAACGTGCCAAAAATATCCACCCCTGCTTCTTCAGGTTTTTAAAAATAGACACTTTTTATTTCTATCAATATAATATCATTTATTTTATCCAAATACTCATAAATGTATATAATAGATTGCTAAAACGATACGAGTTAAGTATGACAGCTGGTAAATAAATTGATAAATAGTAAAATAGGCAGTAATTTTAACAGTAACATAATAATTGATATTTTGTTACAATATGTACTCGAAAGAACCTTATTTAACTTCTGTCTAATGCTATAGTAAATGGAGTATAGACAGCATAGTCTCATCTCTTGAAAGATTAAGCAATAAAAAAAACTCACCTCTTTTTCTTTCTCATGTAGTTTTTGCTCCAGAATCTCCATGTGCCTCTGTTGCTGCATCTTTAGAGATTCTTTCAATATCTTGTCATTATTTGCTCTTTGGTCATCATACTAAAATGAAATTCAAAATAATCGTTTTTAAATACGTAATAACCAAGATTAACTTTTCTTACGTTCATAGGATAATAAATTTAATGCTTTAACAAAAGTAAATAATAAACTCTGTAATCTTTATATCATCAATAGATGAAAATAAAGTGGTCCTATCCGCAGGAAATATATTTGTTAGGTACTATTTTTTTATAGAGAGTATTACTAAGTCCTTGTTCAATTATCTCATAGTTAGAGAGACTTACTATGTCCTTGATCAACTATCTCATAGTTTTCCTCTTTGTTTAATAATGGTTAATTCATTTATTGCGCAATAAGTATTTTCCCTAGAGGCAGAATTTATCCAAGTATTTTCTCTATCCTGTTTCAAATATCCTTAATTAAAATATCAGCTATAAATATATGTAAATCATATGTTATAAACATTATTTAATATTTTTTATTATGAAATCCAATGAGATTATAACTAGTACATTGGTGGTACTAGTAGAATTATTCGGACATTGCCCGTGGGGGAAATACTTCAGAGGCAAAAATGGATTGCTTTATTCAAAGGCTCCCTGTGATAGACGTTAATAACCGATGTCATACACAATCTATACTAATATTATGAATAGGAAAGATTTAATTGTTTATTTTCATTGAATAAGCTCCGAAACATTTGGACCGATTTAAAAAGTGTATAAAGATTTAAAAAAACGCCAGTATATGTGCTTTTATTAATTCTTATTATATTATACACAATTGAAAATTCCAATACAAATACAGATATTAAAAATATATCAGCTTTCTTTTCGATCAAATGATGACTTAAGTCGTTTTTGCAAAATGTCTGTTGACAGGTTTTACCTACCTGGGTGCGATATATTCGGGGTCAACTCCTCGAGCGTCACGTTCAACATTAGAGGGGGGTGTCATGTGTCAATAAATAAATACATCGATGTCCATTATTGTCTGTAATGTACCTATTCTAATATTAATGCTCGTAATTTAGAATATTTGAGACGAATCATGTGCTTCGATTATTAACTAATAACACTGATACAATAGGGATGATGACTAATTTTTGTTTGTTTGTCCGTCAGGTAGTGTTAAAAAATATTAAACATGTATTTTTTTATTTTTTCGTAATCATAAAATAACGGCGATACATGGAATTGAAATTTTGCATGACGTCACGTTATGGTACGTTTTCTACTCAACTGTGACGTAGAGAGCCCCCACTCCTCAACTTTAATGCCTGTTATCTAAGCTATTTCTTTTTAAATTGAAATAAAATACGTATTTAGTATTTTTCTATTATCTGACTGACGGACTAAATAGAATTGCATTTTTTTTACCCAGTCATTATCCCTATTGACTAATTTCGTACCCTCTTTTTATATTCTTTTTCCAATTCTGCTCTTCTTTTCTTGATTTCTGATCCCAATAGTGCACATCTCTGCTTAAGCTCTTGTTCCGATTGAGGCAATGCTGTTATAAGACAAATAATTATTTCACATTCATGGTGATAAAAAAATAGAAAAGAAAATTAGGTACTTGAAAATAGCTAATTTCTTCGGTACCAACTTATCAAAAGAACTTTTCCAGATAATATGTGAGTCTAGTGATTTCTTTATAATACAATAAAATAGGTTTTTATTTGATAAAACACATCGCATATACCTATTTGTAAACATTTTGTTAAGATATACAGAAAAAAAAGATATAGGTACATAAGAAAAGTAATAACAGGAATCACATAAAATCAAAACGTATCATGGTGTGTCGCCAAGCTGGCCTAAGCTCAATATAAGCTTACTGCACTGACATTATGTATTATAAAACGCGGACTAATTTACGAATACTTGCTAGAAAAAACAATTACCTATTTATTTAAATTATAACAATACTAGCTTTTGCCCGCGACTTCGTCCGCGTATAGTTTGATATAGTTTGAGCAGCATATATAAAAACGCTAATACAATTTTTTTTTCGTTATTTTTGTATGATACCTTATGAATTATGATACTTATGGTTATATATATTAATCTAAATTTAATTTTCTATTTCCACCCCTTTTATCACAATATAAACAACCTATATCCTCCAGTTTGAGAGCGTAACAGACATATATACAGACCTACTTTCGCATTATTATATTAGTATGGAACAGCAAAACGATTCTCCTTGTTCCTCGTCACATCATACAATAAAAGATCACCATACAGCTACCAAAATAAATAGTATAAGAACAATATAAATTACAATTGCTTTACAAAGTCGACATTTAATCTCACAGCTGTCTTTTTTCGAGTTTATATTGAAGAGATGGAGGATACAGATGCGTGAGTGAACTAATGCAAAAAATATTGTGATTAATATAGAATGAAAATCTCCCAAACTCCTCCGTGCTTTGGAAGGTACGTTAAGCCCGTTGGTCACGGCTGCATCTGTAGTAGTTAACGCCCACCAATCTGCACTGGGCGTGGTGACACATGGCCCATTCTCCCAATTCGATATGATTCTTTTCCATCCACAGGAAAAGTCTGAGCCACAGCAGTGGGGACAGTAATAAGCTGTTGATGATGAATTGTCAAGGGTCATGATACAAACACAATTATGTATTAATTTTATTAATAGTAAAATATCCGTGATATAAGGATATAATTACTTTGATTGACATTTTTAATTACTTTGATGTTCAACTTCGAAGACTACAACATCAACGGCTACATCAAAAGGCTATAGGTATTTATTTATGGGACAGAAACAGCTATATCTGTAATTATAGATAAAACCTTAACGTATATATTAATCAGACAATGTCAACGTTTCGTTTACTTTTTTTTTATTTATATTTTCTTTGACACTCTCTTTTTAACTCTCTTCTGATGTTTATGTATTTACAACGTAAAATATATTTATTTACTCCAATCTACTCACTGCGACTCTGAATTTCTACAGCCCTAGAGTAATTAACTGACTAATATCCAGTATATTTCAGTACTTAACTCTGAAAACTTTAAAGCTATTTCTCTTATTTGAGATACTGATGGAAAAAACACAAATCTAAAGTTAACAATCTAAAACTGAAATCTACGTAAAATTCTTTGAACACAATAACGCAGTTTAGTTAAGAATAAGTTCTTACTATGTAGTATTATTTTAAAACTCAACCTTGAACAAAACACTGCTTCGTAGAAATATATATAATAATATACTTTACACCATTCTAGTATAGCTCGTGTGTTGATAAGTTTTGAAACGAAATAAAACTTGGGTAACATTTTTAATAATTAACTTGTATTTCAAAAATTTTCAGTGACTCTTAAATATATAATAATCAACAATAAAATATGTATTTTATTAAAAAAGACCGCCCTTGTTTTTAATACAGACCCTTAGACGATTTGGCATTCATCAATGATGGCACGAATCTTTTCTAGCGGAATCCGCTTTACTTCTCAAAAAAGGGTTCGCTTAAGTGACTTCAAGTTTGAATGGGACTTTCGACGGGCTCTGAGCTTTAATTAAGTCCATAAAGAATAATCCAGCGGGTTGAGGTCGGGGCTGGAGAAGGACCATTCGTCCGCCGTGATGAAGGCCAGCACATTCTGTCTCAACCATGCTTAGGTGCTTTTTGCGTTATGGGATGGTGCCGAGTGTTGGTAAAAAACCTAACCCTTATTGTGAAATAACGTATCAGACATGGGTTTCACCACGGGCTCTAAAGTGTCACTCTGATAATTCTTGGCTTTCACCTTGACACCTTGTTGGCAGAAATGGAGCGAAGTGATACCTTCATACGAAACTCCCCACCATACCATCACACCAGCCGGTTGATGAGTACACGAGATATTCCGTGCAGAAGCTGGGACATCCTTACATCTTTTAACGTACACTTTATTGTTTTGTCGGTTGAACTTTTCTTCGACAATATAAATTTTCTCGACGGTGAAAAATGGACGATACTCCTGGCATCATATCTCCTCAGCAGCAACAAACAACATGCGCGTCAAAAAGTGAACTTTTCTACGTCTATAGGCCTTTACCTTAAGATAATATTTCAGTATTCTGTTCACTGGAATGCGCGAAATATTAGTCTGCAGAGCGAGTTTCTTCTGAGTGCGACATGGATTTCGGCGAAGTCGCTCTCGGATGATTTTGATGTTCGCAGGCGTCCCCACAGAGCGTGGCCGACCACTCCTTTGGCGATATTGCAGAGAACTTGTTTCCTTGTACCGCTATATTGTGTAATAAACAAAGTTACGGCTAACAGAAAAACTTTTCAGCTCGCGGAAAATCTACATAGGTTTTTTTTTCCCGCCTTAAATAGCGAAATGTCAGTTGCACGCAATTGTTTCATTCCCTCCATCACGAGAAAATATAAACAAATGAAATTACGATGTAAATAAACTAAAAGATAACATTCCAAATTCAAAATCGATAAAAAATAAATAACAGCTAGTAACATTTTATTTTATTTTTCAGTAAAAAGTTTGTCTCAAAACTTATGAGCACACAAGGTATAAAACGAATTGTATTTGAATATTTACAAAAAAAATGTTATATATTATGTACTCAAGTACCAATTTTCATAAATATAGAAGGAAATCTTTATAAATAAAATTAGGTTGTTTAGATAGATTTATTGCAATGACAAATCAAATATAAAACAATGGTTGCTATAATAACATTTTAATTCCTCATAAAAACTTCCACTCCCATTTTCATCCCTTTAAGTACTGGTTTTCGGTATAAAGTATAACCTATTACCTTCCCAGTCTTAAACTTTTCAAATACCAAAGGTTTTCATCCTTTATGACCCCCTTTGTGGTGATTTTTTGAAAAATCCGTTCTCAGTACACCTCTACGCAATGAGACGAATGTACTCTCCGAAATTCAAGTTTCTACGGCCAACGGTTTATGCTGTGTGTTATCTATCAGTCAGTCAATCAGATGGAAATCTTGATTATCTATACTTACTGTCCATAGCACGATTGACACGATCCGTGTAGCCTGAAACGGCCTCATCTAATTCCTCCCGAAGTTTCTTTGCCTGAATTTAAATGAGAAAAAGTAGTTCATTAAAATCAAATTCTCATCAACAGTTGCCCGGTAGACGTAACATTATACAACTTCACAGTTTTTGAACTCAACTACTCAATTCTAAATAGGTATTAACTGAGGGTCATCATTATAACCTATTTCCTTAGGGAGAAGTTTTGGAAGAAGTAGATGAAGAAAGCGTAGTAGATAAGCACCGCGGCCCGCGGTCGTTGTCTTTAAGCAACTTTCGCAAGTGTCGGTCACGGGATGGGTGACCAAAAAATTATTATCTCGAGCTACTCCGTGCTTCGAGAGGCACGTAAAGCCGTTGGTCTCGGCTGCATTTGCAGTCGTTAATACCCTCCAATCCACATTGGGCCAGCGTAGAGGGTCATGGCCAATCCTCCTTAACCATCCATAAGGAAGGCCTGCCCCTGCAGTGGGGATGTAAAAGGGCTGATGATGATTATGATGAGATGATGAATGAGAAGTCAAATTAGATCGGTGGCAGACTAAGGTGGACGGAGGCCCGGGCCAGCAAAAGGCCAGCATCGTCAACTTTTTCTACTAGGGCAGAAACTGGATATTGCTCGTCCTCCTTTTTTATGACATTGTTATGATTTTAGCGGAGAGCTGTAGCCATTTGGAGGCCTCCTAGAACTGGAGGCCCGGGGCGGACCGGATTAAATATTATTTATTAAAATACTAACATAACGCAAAGTATGGTAGAGCAGTAAATCCGGATCACCATTTAACGTGGGTTTCTTGCTGTCATAACGCAACCCCGTGAACAAGGTTTGGTTCTCATCAACATATTTATTCACTAACTCCTCCACCTACAGAAATTAATTTCATAATTATTAATTTATATTATTTTTCTCTAGGTGGTATTGTTCTGGTAATGACATGGTTTTTGTGAATGTCATTACTCTCATTAGAGCTGGTGAGTTTCTTGCTAGTTCTTCTTATCTGCTAGAAGACATCCTGAACGAGTGGTATAGAAAAAAATTTGGACGATTCAAAAATACTTTTAAGGGGTCCGTTTGAATATACATTATTTTGGCTTTGACTTTATAATATCTTATATGTTATACAGTTTATCGTTATATGAGTACACTTATAGTATATACATATACTAATATTATAAAGAGATAAAGTTTCTATAAAATAAAGTTTTGTTTGTTTGTAAAGGGTAATCTTCAGAAATATTCTATCATCTACGGGAAGCTAAATTATACTCAGTTGCTCGAGGGCTAAAAATTACGAGAGCGAAGTCGCAAAAAATCTGCTGGTATATTATTATAAACAAAAGAATCAAAACAAATCATCTATAATCATTTAATTTCAATTTAATATTTAAATCTGAAAAACTAAGTTAAAAATAAGTTAGAATTAAATCCGTTAATCTAAACTTAGAACTTATAGACAACAAAGTGTCGTTGAAACAAATTACTAATTAATCATCAACTTCCAATACTTCAACTGTAACGCCTACCCTAGTTGCTGTGAATGCTAATTAGTTATAACGAACGTTTAAAGTGTCTTTTGCAAGAACCCTGACATTTGTAGAAGCTTAGTCTTAGCTTAACAAGAATCCAGAATATATATCTACCTATAGCAACTGAAGTTCTTGTTCTTGGGAATGTTTCTTTCCACTTGATACTATGAGTCTCCTAATTTGTTAACGATCCCACTAACAATGAGTTCAATATCTTCATGCGATGAAACAATCAAACAATCAAGGCCGACTCCTTGACCATTGATTTATGGATGTTAGTTAGTTTATGGAGGTTAGGCAATCACTTTTTTACTGGCAATTTTCACGAGGTATACAGGAAGATAAAAGAAGCTCTATCTCCAATAACTTCTACAGCTAAGTAAAACATAGTGTGCAGTACGCAACAACTGTTGGTCATGCCAACTTTAAAAAGAACCTTTTCAATTTAGGTTGTCGCTTAGGGATTGCAATCGGGATACTTAGAAATTCTAAAATAACTGCAAAATCCGTATTTAAAAACTTTTTAAAATTAGAGTTTACGTATTTGAGTTAAAACTAAATAAAATTGAGCTGCTTTTTCCAATGTTTTCATCAATAGTTTAATAACGTCTGAATAAATGTTATAAAAGTAATAATAAATTTTTCATTCTGTTTACCTTTCTTTATTGGGCATAGATATAACCAAATTCTATTCTAATTATATACAGTTTTATTTTATCAAACAACAGATAGATAGTTTTAATTCCATTTTGGCTTGGGAGTAAAAGATAAATCAAATCAAATCAAAATTGTTTATTCAGTTTAGGCTTTTACAGAGCACTTATGAAAGTCGAAAACTATACGCTATCGGTTCAATGAATTCAGAAAATGCTGGCGTCATGTTAAACCCTAGATATAGTAAAAATGGAAAATTGCCCAGCTCTTTAAAACTACGTAACGTTTCAAGTTTCAACAAAACTATTATATCTATATATAACTTTTAACTATTAATTTAATTTGAAAATAAAATATTCTGCACTGCTACTTATGTAAACCTCTTTTTCTAATGTTATAATGAATGGAGTATAGTTAAGAAAAACTCAAAAGTCAAGTATCTTTTCGAAACTTCCGACCGAGAGCGTCTATAATTGTTGTTGGCGGACACTAGTTTTTTATTTTCACACAAAACAATTGTTGGATAGTGGCTAGAGCGTATAAAATATAAAATACTCGCAATTGAACGTTCCGTCTGCGTAGTGAATTGGTCGGGCTTTCAGCTGGTCACGCCTAGTGTCAATATTACTCACGATCTGCTTGACGGTTCTGCTCAATATTCCTTCGTCTCTTTGCCACCGACATTGGATAAAACTTCAGTATGACGCACGATCTGATCTTTATGGTTTAGGCAAGTGGGCACTTTAGGTGGTATGAATCCCGAATGCGTTTGTGGTGAATTTTGTAGCGGGTATACGATATTTAGCATAAAATACCCACATACAGAAGTTAAAATGGCAATTATCCAGCATACTAGGTTCTATTAAGCAATGGGCAAAATTGTTAGTCGCATTCATAAATATGAGCTCACATGACAAAATTTAGGCGACTCATAAAGCTCCATTTAACTCTCCCGATGAGTGCATAGGATACGACAATAACTTAGTTTGGTGTATTCTGTGGTTTGGTTTAATATTCTAAGGGCAGTAAATATATATAAGTAACGATACGTAACTTAAATTATTTTTAAAAAGATGGGTAAAATTATTTATACAAGAACCTTAGCGAATTGGGCATCTAGTGCTATCGACTTGTCATATTGCCATTCGTACTGCATTCGAGCGGCGTCGATCTTGTCTTTATAATCATCGATTAAACCTCTGGTTTCGGCAATGGCTTCCTTTGAGGCTTGTACACCACACTCCAAGTAACGCGTCAAATCCGCTGCGGAACAATTTCTTTATAACATTTAGAAATATTTTTCCTTGATTCTGACCCCGTGAAAACTAGTCAATGATTTCTTTGGCAAAGTGGAAGAGCGCAAACTTCCTTAAAAGTACATGTAGGTAAGTACTACATCCTACCAGCCGTTGGATCGCGCGATTTAAGAACAATAAACGTGTTGATGCGATTAAATCCGAAAAAGATATATCCCAATAAAGAGAAAGAAATTAGGGTTACCGCTTATTCGATGCACTCGATTTCAAAATATAACATAAATTAGAGGACGTAGATAACTCAATTCATGTTATTTCTTGTTTTCAGAGTACATTCTTAAATAATCCCATGCCACCACTTCTGGAACACAAGCCTATGGATCTAATTAAATAGTGAGAACAAGGCCCAGTGCAGATTTGTGGGTACTGACGATTGCAAATGCAGTTGGAACCAACAGCTTAACCTTCCGAAGCACGGAGAAACATGAGATAATAAATTTTGACCACTCATTCTGATAACCAGCCTTTACCATAATTGTTTAAGATTCGCAATCGCAGACCAAGCAAACTCTGTTATATCACTAGTGAAAAAAAAATATAGATTTTAATTCCAATGTTTATATTTGGAAAGGTGGGAAGTTTTGTCTACTTACACTAACAAGGGAGGGGGGGACTAAAACGTCTGAAATTTTGCTTAGGTAATAACTGAATGTCTTCTGAACTTATTCAAGTCTTCGAATTATCTGACATTATTGGACAATGTTGTCATATGATATCGCGACCGTTGTCTTATGCAGCACATGAAAGATTGCCGGAAAAATCAACTGATATTAACACGTCTTACCCATCTTTGGCGAAGCTTCTGAAATATTGCAATTGGATGTTTGTACCAACCCAATGCGTTCGTTCAGTGCAAAATGCAAATCTTTGATATCCTCTATCTTGAAGTCCCGCATCTTTTCTTCTACTAACTGTTGGCAGTTGTATACAATTATAAATATTGTTATATATCAGTTACATTAGTTATAGAAACAGTTGAAAAATAAACGGGTTATCGCGCAGGTTAATTAAATAGGTATTCTGCCTTCTGCTTGCGTTCAAGAACAACGATAAACTACAACCAAACATTTGTTAGATTCTAAGAGTTTTAATTGATGCATGTAACATCAATGCCATGATATGAACTTAAATTGCCTGCAAATATCATTATCTCGTTGTGTATCTTTTCTGTGTATGTTACACTTACACAAACGTTCACTGTACGCTTACTAAGCTCAAAACATTTGCAAAACGTCCTTCTGTTAATTGTATACTCTGCTATCAACACTTAAAATGATCTATACGTTATAGGTATTATCTGTAATATGTGCTTTATTAGAACTAAAAGTTGAATAATTTGTCGAAATTGTAATCGAAAGAAGTTCTTCAAATCGACGACTATTTACTTAAATTTAGTTTCACTCATACATAATGTAACTGCGGCATTCAACGCCTACGTTAAAATGTGCCCAACTTTGTTTCCTTTACCCACACACGCATAACATGGCGTATTTATCGGTACAATACACTTGTGGGTAAAATTTGAACAGGCAAAGTTTATTAGGACGACATTTCAACGGTGGGCATATTACAACGCAGGCCCTAATTGCCACAGGTACCTTAAGATTTATTTCTTATTTTGCTTACTCGATTATAATAAGCGCAAGCTTCCTTAGCCGTATAGTAGTTATGGAGAATAGAATCACCGAGATCCCTCAAGCATTTATCTATCTCGCAAATGTCTCTGGTGATCACTGGAGGTGGCTCCAACTCACACTTCGGTTTCTCTTCAAACTCTATAGAAATTTAAAATACTGTTCATTTTCTAATTTATATTTAACATTTCAATAGTTAACTGCGCTACGTTTTATTTCTTACCGTCACATTTCTTCATCTCTTCTACCGGAGGCTCGTCAGGAACTAGAAATATGAATAACTTATATTTATACAACTTGAGTTTTATAGATTCATGTCCAAGTTCATACTTCATTCTTCTTCTTAGAGAATAAGTTCTTCATACGAATATAATATAAATTGCAAAAGTTTTCAATTTACGTTTATTTAATAAATAGCAATAAAAGACGCTAGTTGTGATGATGAGCTTGATCTGCAATATTATCTCACAGTTTTACCATAAAATCGTGTGACTTAAATCAAATAATTCAATCGGAAAATATAAGAAATCGGAAGATCTGTTCTTAGGAAACATGTCATCGATTTTAAAGAAAAGGAAAACTGTATTCATTCTTTTATAAAATAAAAGAACTAACTGTTGTTCCGCGACTTCGCACGTGCATATTATAGTCTATGTCATCCTATCCGATGCAAACGTTTAAAGAAACAAACAATAAAATCTTTCCTTAAATGAAACAAGCGATGATAGACAATTTCACGCATTTAAACGAATTTAATATTGTATTATATATAAATAAAGAATATGAAAAACAATGCATACGATTCATTTAAGACATCATGTTTCATAATAAAACAGTTAATTACAACCTTATACAATCGGTATGTAAGTAGAAATAACGTAAGTTTTATTTTTCAAAATTCCCGTACTTACAACTTTTTTATAAAATATGAATACAGTTTTGTTGTTTTCACTAAAATCTATGACATGGTTCCTAAGAATAGATCTTTCAGACTTTTCCCTACTGACCGATGTTAATGTTAACACCCTGTATAATTAAGTATATCCAAGTTCAATTAAATTGGCTTTGTCTATGTAAGTTGTTCAGTTCAACATTTGTTCAGTGACTTTTACTATATTTTTCACTACTGTGATAATAGTTAAAGCTTAAAGATTCGCCTATAAAATCCCCACATTATCATTATTTTAAATAATAATAATAATATTCTTTATTGCACACAAAAGACGAGTAACAAATTACGCAGCTTGAGAAAAAACAAAAGTTTACAAAAACGCGGCCTTATTGCTACATAGCAATATCTTCCAGGCAACCTATAGAGGAGAACAGATAAATAGTATAATCAGCCGACCAATTGGGCGGCTAGCCCTTCTATGAAATCAAATGGACAAATTTGTATTATCTAAAAAACTTTTAAAAATAAGGGACGAAGTTAAGCTATAGATACCCTTGTTATTAATAAACAAGGTTTAGCGTTGGAGTAAATTTAAGCTGTGACTGCTCTTAGAATACTAAGTAATACTGTCAAAATTCTTATTATTAAACAGATATTTAGCAAAAGTTAACCTAAGTACGAGGTTCTACGGGAATAATATTTACTCCTAGAAAGTAGATATGTTTGCTTATTCTCTGTACAATCTAGATTCAAAAAAATCGATAATAATACTTTCTAAAAAAACATGTTATTGAAGAGTGGAGTCTCCCGGTACAGGCATTGTCATGCTTAAAAAGGGACTCCAGTAATTGGTAATGAGATTTTTTGACGTGGATACGTCTATGTTTTCGTTCTACAGGGGGGTCATTCTGTGAGCAGGAGCTTATGCACTAACGCCATCTATTGGCGTATAAGTGAACTATGCTTGCTCTGCAGGGGGAGGGGCATTCTGTCACCAGGAGTATATGCACTAACGCCGTCTGTTGGCGCTAGTGAATACTTTTTTCATTCAACAAATGAACGCAACGAATATTTATTTATTTAGTGTTTAGTGTCTTCAATTTGTTTATTTATTTTTTTATCAATTACTCATATATCCATTCATACATAGACGTATCCACGCATAAAATATGGCTGTATCAATGATACAGCCAACCAGGGTTTTTTTTTCTTTGTTTTCTTGTATAATATGAATTTAGATTAATACTTTAAATTTTAGCAAAAATTTACTGTGACGCTAATAGTGGCCGGTCTACGAGAAATTATACGGCGTTTCGTGAACAAAAGATATCCTTTGGCAGGTTTGATCTGTAGGTCCAAAGGATTGATTTAAGAAGTGGAGCCACCTGGATTTCCCTTGCAGGTGAGGGGGGGAGGGGGGGGGGAAGTTTGCACTCGCCGCGCTGCGAATAAAAAATTATAACTGCTCCAGTTATGCATACAGTGGCGTGTTTGGTATCGTTTTCGCATAAGAAGAGTACGGGGAATCCGTTTTTAAGATTAGTTAGAGATACTTTTGTACAAAAAGTCAATAATTTTCGAAAAAAAGTAAATTTTAAAGTTAGTTTTTTTTTCTTTTAAATATATTTACCTTAATAAATAGATCGATTTTGTGATAAAAAAAATAGTATTATCAAGCTCATACTATCTAGTTTTTAGAAATATATACATTATGTATACTTCTCTAACAGTATGTACCCCAAAAAAAATACCGCGCGAATCTAGAAAACTTAAGTTGTAAATCATTTTACTGTTTATCTTTTTTTAACTGCTCCAGTTATGAATACAATGGTATGCTTGGTATCGTTTTCGCTTAAGAAGAGTACAAGAAATTTATTTTTAAGGTTATTTTTAAACATTTTTATACAAAATGTTTATAGTTTTGATAAAAAAGTAAATTTAAAAGTTATGTTTTACACATTTTTGGATATTTTTCGCAAATTAACTATTATCTTCTACGTTGGAATGTATAGTTTGTTAAAGACGGAGTAAATAAAATAATGATAAAAAATAAGCAAATATATTTTATATTTATAAAATAAAAAATTGTTAAAATCAAACACTTTCTCAAGTCTTCGAATTCCTCCGGAGGGCCTCGCGGACTACAAAACGGAAACAAAAAAGATAATATTATATGTAATAATGTATAATCTCTGTTTAGTTTTAATAAACTATAAATATAATAAACTCTAATGTTATCTAACAATTTAAATATACCTACCTACCTGGAATTAGCGGAGTATCTGTTACACTCTTATTCTTCGATGAGCGCCTCGAGGTCTATTGCACTGTAACAAAATAGAAATAATATTATACAATGTAAATAACAATACGAAATTCAGCAGGCAAAGTTATTTGACAACATAAATATACCTGGTATTATCGCAGTTTCCGTAGCAGCTCTTACACAGCAGTGTGCATGGCATACCCTCTCGTCCGCAAGAACATCGGCCTCTGCAGCTGTTCTTGCATCCACACTTCACCAGCTCTCGTGCCGCCTCCCAGATACTGGGCTGAGTTGTCCATAATGGCTGCCATTCTCCTTCGGTTTGAGTCCATCCCCAGTCAGCTGGGGAGGGGATAACCCCTGAGGGATCAAGAGCTTGTCCCCAGATGAAGCCTGCTTGATAGGCTGCCCTCAAAGTGTGCATCCTTAGAGCATCCCTCGTAGGGGGGATATTTTGCAATGACTTGTTTTTGGAGAATAAAATCTTGCGGGCTTCGTTAACTGAACGAATTTCAGTATCACCACAGTATAACATGATGACGTATTTTTCTATTTTTGTCATCAAATCATCTGTCGTGGCAGCAACATCTCGAGGCCACATCAGCTTTTAGAGCACTTTCAAATCCATTGGAAGAAGTGACTGAAATTCGTTCAGTTAACGAAGCCCGCAAGATTTTATTCTCCAAAAACAAGTCATTGCAAAATATCCCCCCTACGAGGGATGCTCTAAGGATGCACACTTTGAGGGCAGCCTATCAAGCAGGCTTCATCTGGGGACAAGCTCTTGATCCCTCAGGGGTTATCCCCTCCCCAGCTGACTGGGGATGGACTCAAACCGAAGGAGAATGGCAGCCATTATGGACAACTCAGCCCAGTATCTGGGAGGCGGCACGAGAGCTGGTGAAGTGTAGATGCAAGAACAGCTGCAGAGGCCGATGTTCTTGCAGACGAGAGGGTATGCCATGCACACTGCTGTGTAAGAGCTGCTACGGAAACTGCGATAATACCAGGTATATTTATGTTGTCAAATAACTTTGCCTGCTGAATTTCGTATTGTTATTTACATTGTATAATAATATTTCTATTTTGTTACAGTGCAATAGACCTCGAGGCGCTCATCGAAGAATAAGAGTGTAACAGATACTCCGCTAATTCCAGGTAGGTAGGTATATTTAAATTGTTAGATAACATTAGAGTTTATTATATTTATAGTTTATTAAAACTAAACAGAGATTATACATTATTACATATAATATTATCTTTTTTGTTTCCGTTTTGTAGTCCGCGAGGCCCTCCGGAGGAATTCGAAGACTTGAGAAAGTGTTTGATTTTAACAATTTTTTATTTTATAAATATAAAATATATTTGCTTATTTTTTATCATTATTTTATTTACTCCGTCTTTAACAAACTATACATTCCAACGTAGAAGATAATAGTTAATTTGCGAAAAATATCCAAAAATGTGTAAAACATAACTTTTAAATTTACTTTTTTATCAAAACTATAAACATTTTGTATAAAAATGTTTAAAAATAACCTTAAAAATAGATTTCTTGTACTCTTCTTAAGCGAAAACGATACCAAGCATACCATTGTATTCATAACTGGAGCAGTTAAAAAAAGATAAACAGTAAAATGATTTACAACTTAAGTTTTCTAGATTCGCGCGGTATTTTTTTTGGGGTACATACTGTTAGAGAAGTATACGTAATGTATATATTTCTAAAAACTAGATAGTATGAGCTTGATAATACTATTTTTTTTATCACAAAATCGATCTATTTATTAAGGTAAATATATTTAAAAGAAAAAAAAACTAACTTTAAAATTTACTTTTTTTCGAAAATTATTGACTTTTTGTACAAAAGTATCTCTAACTAATCTTAAAAACGGATTCCCCGTACTCTTCTTATGCGAAAACGATACCAAACACGCCACTGTATGCATAACTGGAGCAGTTATAATTTTTATTCGCAGCGCGGCGAGTGCAAACTTCCCCCTCCCCTCCCCCCCTCACCTGCAAGGGAAATCCAGGTGGCTCCACTTCTTAAATCAATCCTTTGGACCTACAGATCAAACCTGCCAAAGGATATCTTTTGTTCACGAAACGCCGTATTTTGCGTTTTTATGTCGTGTAGGATTGCCACTATAAACCTTGTTTACTAATAGTACTGGTAGAGACAGGCCTTAGTCATACTAGACTAGAATTAAAAGATTCACAATTCGGAAGAAATGAGATTAAATATTAAATCACCTTCATCATTATCAACGATTTCTCCATCCACCGAGCATTTCCTAGGTTTATTATCACGCATATACTGATTCAAGCACTTTTTGAAGTCATCAATACGCTGTTCTGCATATTCACTATACGTCATATTCTCTTGAAACACTACAGCAACAAAGTCGTCGAACCAGGGCGCGTGCATAGACAACCAATCTCGAACCTCGGGCTGCTGTCTGTGGTAAATAATAGCTTCTTAAAAATATTTCATGTGTCATCACTCATCAGCCGTGATTTGTACGCGACACCTTTTTAAAAATAAATTATTGCAATTAAGGCCATAAATGATCAACTTGCCTTAACTTGCATTAACCTGCTTTGTCAAAATATCTATAAAAATACTCAAGAAGCGATATTTTGAAAATTAAAAATAGTAACAAAAAAAAATTAACAATCTAGTGAAAAGGTAACCTACAAGTTTATTTAAATTTACAATACATACATGTATTGAAGTTTAAACTCGAGTAGATAAATTTGACAGAATTGTATTTGAATATGTATATGTACCTACCTGATGTGTCATTGACTATACATATCTAACCATTAAAAATATTGTCTTTATAATGCGCATGATGAGTAAATGCTTACTTGGCATAGTAGGCGAAACCTCCAGCTAATACACACACAGTCAACACCCCCCACAGCAAACGGTCATCTTTAGGGGGCGGCGGAGGCAAGGGCGGAGGTTTGGGGCAAGTATCCCTCTCTGTGGCATCTTTGTACTTTTGGTCCGGAACGTTTTTGGATATTGAATTTATTTGTACGAACGTTGTGGGACGGCATTTCTGATAGAACCAAGTTAATTATAATCTAAATAGAAATATGTACTTTAAACTAGCAAATTAGCATCAGCTAATAAAGTTGAATACAGCTTCTATCATCACCATCAGCCCTTTTACGTCTCCACTGCAGGGGCTCGGATATTCCTTTCGGATGGTTAAGAAGCATGGGCCCATGACACTCCACGCTGGCCCAAATGCGGATTGGAGGGTATTAAAGGCTGCAAATAGAGCCAGGACCAACAGCTTAATGTGCCTTCCGAAGCACGGAGTAGCTCGGGATAGTAATTTTTTGGTCACCCATCTCGTGACCGACCCTTGCGAAAGTTGCTTAACCACAATGATACCGAGTTACTGTGATAGAATGTAGTATGCTAATTTTTTGACAGAATTTACACTACACTTCGTCTGCGTCAATGATCCTTAATCCTTGCATTATAATTCTGAATGTAAAAAAGAAAACGACTAAATTTCCTTATTTCAGAGTAATCAATTCAGCCGAGCTTAAATGTCACATTGTAGACGCCTTTGAGTTTCCACATAACATTTATAGACTGGTAGTTGTAAGAAATCAGACGTTCCTGGCTGTCAGAGCTTTTAATGTCCTCTGGGCCAAATGTATGCTTTGCTAGTGAATGATCAGTCCATCTCATACAATAACTAACGGGGTAAATATAGAAAACGAGTTAGTCTTTAACAGTTCGAGGCTGGCTAGTAGCATTGACTTTTTTGTTTAATAAAACATATACTTAGAGTATATGTTTTACTAGTGGACGCCCGCGACTTCGTCCGCGTGGAAGTCGGTATCCCGTGGGAGTGAGAAGTTTTCCCAGTAAAAAGTACCCTATGTGTTATTCTGATGTATAACCTATATTGCTGTAAAGTTTTATCCAAATCCGTCCAGTAGTTTTTTCGTGAAAGAGTAACAAACATCCATACATCCATACTTACAAACTTTCGCCTTTATAATATTAATAGGATATACTCTAAGTATATGTTTGCATGCACTTGCTACTTACCATGAGCAAAATATATGGAAATAGCACTTACCCAACTATTAAATATATGAGAAGTCACTCTATACATGTTTTCCGTTCATTTATTATTATTATTATTAGGTTTACATAAATTTAAAATTCGACTGCATTCATTTAACGTTTTCATGAAATTGTAATAAAAAAATTTGCATCTAGTCAAAACATAGTTGCATTTTTCCTTCTGTTTACTTCTGTCACTGTCAATTTTTCTTGACAAATTTTAAATTTGAAGCTTTTATTTGTTTGAAAGAAGCATAAATTTATGAGTAACGTGATATTACTGTAATATGCTAGGAAAAAGTACGTAGGTACTTTGATGTAGATCATCCAATATAAGAATGTACGAAAAATATGAAATAGTAGGTAGGCTATCCTTAAATGATGAAAAAGTTTGACTGGATAATGGGTTTAAGCTAGTAAGATGAATGAAAATAAAATAACGTCTTGAAATAAAAATCATCTTTTAATTTAAATTACATTACAATAGAATATTTACACATGGTACTAAGATTAAAGAACTCTGGATATTGTATCGGTGATGCAGTAATTTTATATCAACAAAAATCTGAGTCGGTTTATAAATGCGGACACTTTTGTGTAAAGGAGACAACTCAATAGATAGTATTTCCCAGAAATTTAAAAAATTAAAATATAAGCTAATTCTTCGTCTACGTCAATTTAACAGCGCCCGAAACTATCCCTTCTCTATTAAAAAAATAAATTCACCATTATTATAATTTATTATGATAAAAGTAAATTATGTGCTTATAAATCGTACTAAGCGATATGAAGAACATATTAATAAAAATACAAAAGTATAAGAGAAAGGATCGCTACAATTTAACAAAAAAAAATTATATTGTTGTCTTACGATATACAATCTGTATTGGATTGCACAATATTGTTGCTGTTGATCTTACAATCTTTCAAACAGGCCTTGGAACTACTCAAATCTACAGTTATTATGGAAATCACTCGTTAATTTACTAAAATAACCTTCACTTGCCAATAATTAGTGAAGTAACATTGAAAATAAACTTAATTACCATATCTTAGTAAATGAAACTGCTGTCTTTTTTAATGAAAAATTTACACAGACTCTTAGTACTTCGAAATTTGTATGTAAACATAGAAACGCATGATTATTTATTAGTTACTTTTAATTTGGAAACAGATTTTTAAATGCTCAAATAAAAATTACTCATCTATTATCATATTATTAAGCAGTTTTGAAATAATCTGTCATTCCCAAGTGTGATAACGACGTTTCATTTAATCGAGTAAAATACATCAAAGACGAATAAATTTTATTTGACTATTGAAAAACTACCCTCGGTTTTTTTTAATAACATCGCGATATAACACGGCAAGCTTCCCATCATGATACATATTGACACATGGCAGTTTGTTTACAAAGACAATAATAGATAACTGTAACAAAATATTTAAATCTGACACTTATCTATCTACATATAAGTATCATTTTTGCACGTTCTATAATCGAATCGTGACACTAGTATTTACCATAGATAGATGATGATCTAAATTATTATAATAAACAGTAAACAAATACATTTTTTTTTTACAATAAATTGGTGTATTAAACGAATTGGACTAGTCGGTAGCTATAGTATACAAATTATGAATTTACAGTACACGTGAGTTTGCGACTCAAAGATTACGTACAAAAGTGACCAGTATAATATGTAGTGTTATTACGCCGCTAAATGTTGGTTTTTGTCAATCAATTGCCAAGACAGGAGTAACAATGTACGAAGCAATTATACCGGTAATTTAAATTGTTTAAAAAATAACAATAAAGCTGGATATATTTGTAAAAATATACAGAAATTCCGTCAAAATAAATAAAGATATAATTTAACTACAATAACATTTATATTCAGGAAAAAACTTAACTAATTCAAACAATCTGATAATCCCCAAATCGACCGAAAATGAGTCGCAAACTGTCAAAATAGCAACTGATCGGTTTATTGATTTTTTTCTAATAGCAATGGATCTATACTCACTCGACGCAATACTACAAGGTTGACGGTGTCATAAATCGCTTTTCGATTAAAGATGGTCCACGCGCAACTCGACATAACTGCCTTCGCTGCAAAAAATATATAATTATAATGTGAGGATGGCACAAACGTTATCATTATTAATTAATAAAGAGCTCTATGGCACAGTGGGTAACACATTCAGTCTGGAATGCTATAGTTAAGTAACATTTGATTCGAAAAACACTCGAAAAAGCCGTTGGTGCCGGCTACATCTGCAGTCGTTAATACCCACCAATCTACTGTCCTCGTAGTGGGTTATTGACACATTTCTCCTATTTGATTTGAGGGAAGGCCTGTGCTTAAATAATGGAGACAGTAATAGGCTGATGAGAGATAGGGAGAGAGACAGAGCGCCAACACAGCCTTAGTCGCCTGCCAAATCTCTAGATGTCGCCGCGCATTGCAAATTATCATGTGACTGTGACGTCACAATGGTAGTGAAAAGAGTGGGCGTGTGTTATAGACAGAGAGATAAATAGAGAGTGAGAGAGAGAGAGAGAGAGAAAGAGAGAGAGAAACCAACACCATGCATGTAGGAGAGGAGAATCAGTAGACAGTTGACATTTCAAACCTTTACCTGGTCGTTTTACAACACCGTCTGCCGTACAGTATTGCCTCGCGTACATCAGCTGACGGCGCTACAGTTTATAAGTATAGTAATCCACAAGCGGACGCGTGCGCCATCACAGCCTCGGCCGCCTGCCGTATCTCTAGATGCCGCCGCGCCGCCTCCGCCCACTTGGTGGCCGCAGCCCTAGGGGCGCCCTGCAGTAGGTTCACGTACCGCAAAGCACCGGACAGGTTACCGTGGTTCATGTGGTACCTAAATATGTGTTAAATCGACTACTATCAAGACGCATAAGTATTTGCAAAACAAATTTCTAAATTAATCAATCAATTAATGAACACTTTATCGTTGACGAAAAGAAAAATCAACATAACAATTAACTATAAACGGATCACAGTAAAATCGGCGAACTTGTCGCTAAACAGCGATATCTTTTAGGCAACCGAAAGTTAGGCTGGACAGTTACTTATGAAGACAATTGAGAAAATTATATTAAATTCTTTGAATGTTATACATTGCATAACGACACGTCATGCCGTTGGTTCCAGCTGTGTCGTAACATATACCAATCTGCAATGGGCCCGCGTGGAGGTTTTTGGTCTTTTCTCTTTATATGATGCCATACATAAGAAAAATCTGTAGGCTAATTCTCTAATTTTAAAATGTATCGCAATCTTTTTCAGAGGTATAGCGATTTATGGAGTTATGTAACTTTTATAGTGTCAATTGCTTTTGGACCGCATGATTTGATTGATCAATGACCAATTCAACTCCTTCGTTAGACATTTCTCAATAGGTTTCAAGCATTTTTTGCTTGCTTAGACGTAAATAAAGCATACCGTTTATATACCTTTCAAAATAAACGTCACGATCGCAACCGCTATAGCATATCAAATAGTTGTAGCGTGAAGTTCGGTAATATCTTTTAAATGTCAAATTGAAAAAGATTGCGATAGATTTAAAATTTAAAATTTGACAATTAGGCTTCTGTGCCTGCAATGCGGCCATTAATTTTAATTATAAGCTTATAATGATGAAGAAAAATTATTAAATTAGGATCATAGTTATGTACTGAAATGCTACTCTATAATCGGGAGACTTAATAAAAATAAGGTACACGGTAGCAATCTCATAGAAAACTATCAACACTTAAATAAAGTTTTATATTCCTTGAAATCATACACTCACTGTAATGTATGAAGTGATAAAAAGTTATTTTATATTAACGATGATGACACTGAAAACAAGAAATCGCAAAATTTTACTAGATTTCATTTTATATTTCATCCATGCCACACTCACCTTGCCCTTTGAATGATGTCGAAAGTGTCCAATTCCATAAAATCTACAGGTTTGTTTTCTAACTCTTCCGCTGGAATGCTGGATATCTATAAAAAAAGAGAGAAAATCGCTTAGGGTTCGGGATAAAAAAAAATTAACGCCAATTAAGTTCACAATCCGACTTTATTTACTCAAATAAAATCAAAAATTAACTCGTTCACAATACACACTTAACTTCATTAGTGTCATTTTCACGACACTATTTGGATCGTACAGATAATTCGGTTCACTAGTTTAGCTTGATACAAATACGAGAAAAACGGAAATATTTCGATATAAGTCCGGAATATTTTTAATCAAGTTTGTGAGCCAATTAAAAGAGACTATATTTAAGAATGAGATGGATTCTTCTTCTTTTAGCTACGGAAGGTATAAAAAAAAAAAACATTGAGTCAAAAAACCTTCATTTCCTTCACGCAAAATTACTAACATGACTTTTTTCACAAATTTTGGTTTTATTTATCGTAGCGACAATGAAAATTACTGAAATCCAACAAAAAAATTTACAGTAAATAGTGATTTTTATTAAAATTAATATTTTACTTTTTTGTAGTAGTGGTTTAATATGATAAAACTTTATTTAAATTATTTCTGAGTGGATTTTAATGTTTTTTAGTAGTGTTTACCTCAAAAGTCTTCTGAAAATATTGCGTGTTAAGTGCGTGAAAATATTCTGAAAGTTTTGCTTCATAAATAATTATAAGGCTATTGGCATGCAATATTTCCATGGATTCAAAACAAAATATACTTAACGCAATATAGTAATATCGATTGAAGTCGTATTTCATTGTTAATATTATTGATCTTTTACAAAATTTTTTTAAATATTTATTGTCCGTGTTTTTATAAAAATACGAGTTTCCAAATATAATATTAGGAAGATTTACGTATTTCATGGAAGTAACATAATTAACAGATTGGAAATACGTAGAAGTCACTTTATATGTATTTTGCTTATCATGCCATTGAGAAATTAAAGGAATTTTATTTTTTTACTAATAATCCAAAAGAAAATGTCGTTGGATTAATTCATATATTAAAAAGGAAATATATGATACCCTCATAATAAAAAAAACAGCTGTTATGTTTTAATATTTGATCTCCATACTGAAAGTTGGTATTTGTATCAGGCTAAGTTATCGTTGACCTCGGCCCTACCGGTGTATTCGATTTATCACCAAAAATTACAAATTTTAATTTTATCACAAATTTCCAGTGACCGTCTCAATCTCACTGACATATGCCTATATGATACACGTAGTTTGGGCGGTGTTAACGCAATTCAAATGATAGGTAATGCCATCTAGTAACGGGTATACGAAACATGGCGCCGCTGCGCTTCATAACAATACTTTGCAAGACAAACATGTCAATATTTTTTCAGTGTTTGATCATGTCTCCACCCTCCAAGGGATTCAGCGTAAGACTATATCGTTTTTTGCTTCTATCTATCAACACTTATAGGCCATATAAGTTATTTTAGGATAATCTTTTTTTATACGTGACACACGTTATAACTATAGACACACTTTATTGTCTTTCTACACCACGAATACAGATAAATCAAAACAAAAGCAATTAAAGGTATGTGTCACAATCAACAGTCACCATTTCGTCAATCTGTGGGATAAGCCCCACAAGACTTATTCTTATCTTCTTACAAACTTTTCTATAAGAGTGTAATGGACAGCAGATACAATCATGAACTACAATTACGGGCAGGGTATCATCCCCTTGGTTGTGACCCAAAAATGTGCTACTGCGGGATCGCCATTTTGGTTCAACTTAGTACCGCGTAATATTCCAATTAAACTATTGAAAGCTTATGAATGCTAAACACAAAAAAAAATATTATTTTTCTGAAAAATTCTGAAACAAACTTTTTATCAATAAATTGGTCCTTCATTTATGGGCTTACCTTGTGGAATAATAATTTCGACTGCAGCCACGATAAGAAGTAAATGGGCAATGAAGCACCCTCACGACCAATTAGAGCTACTTTAACTGCTGTTTTTTCCATCTGAAAAAATATTTATTACACTGAAATCTTAGTAATTTTACTTAACTGCTAATCTATTGTAGAATCTTAAAAATATGAATATTTGTCAGTACTTAACTCTCAGAAATGATTGAACATGACAATTTTGTATGTAGTTTATCACTTTTCTGTGAAAATAACTGAAATAATGTAGTGACTTTATATTATAATAATGCGTGTTTTATTGATTCAAAAGATATTTCTACCAACTGTTACAAAAATAAATTAGGTTTATACAGAACTACTATGTAGTTGTACCAAAAAAAAAACAACAATTTGAAATAAAAAATAAAATAAGTATAAGAAAAATAAGTGTTGATAAAATTGATAGTCCAATCACAAGTGTTCTAATGTATTTTGCCAATTACCCTAAACACTATACAGCCACAAAAACATGTTTCATTTACCGAATCGAACCTCTCCCGCAGTGACTTTTCTGTGGCGATGCCTTGCTCTCTGATTTCAGATCGGATTCCTTTTAGCACCGTCTGCACTAACTTATCATCCTTACCTATAAAAAAATAGATACATCTAGAATTAATAACATTTGGAAGTAATGAAAGAAAATAAAATCTAGTAAATTCTACGTTTAGTCCCTAAAATTAAAATAAGACTAAATTTGACGATTTATTATAATAGCAAAATTGTCAACTTTCAAGTAATAACAATGATAATTTCACTTGTAGCTTTTACTATTGCTTCAACTATAGCAACTCATTCTATGATTTTTCATATTTAATTGTATTTTGCTTTAAAATACTTATCAATATCTAATGTTTTCACGGAGTGAAAGATTCAAGGTTCAAAATACGCGAATCCTTTGAAATAAACGCAAATACATTCAGCTTTCACGGGTGTTAACGGCAAGAAAGTAGAGCGTCCTTCACGACAGAGCAACAAAAATCACAAAAATCTTTTATGTACAAAGTATTATATTATGATTGAAATTGCATACCAAATGTTGTCGTTTATGATATTAGCTATATAGCACTGTAAGGTTGATGCTGACATACAAATAACCCTGTATAACGACACTGCTATCCTAAAAAAATATAGCTTAACTCGATTTATGCAATAATCAAATACATTAAAGAATCAGTATAATTTTTGTAGCAAATTAAATAAAACAGTGTACAGTTTACATGGGAATGAGAGGGAAGCTCCTTTCTCAGCAGGTCAATTTCAGAAACAAATCTGCTCATAGACAAGTAGACTCGATTAGAGTGACATAATGATACTCCGGGGAAAAATACTCGGTTCGATTAATTACCCGCTTTTTCTAGTGCTTGGATTTCATTATCTATCTTAGTCTCTGGTACTCCTCGTCTCGTAGCCGCTAGTAATGCTTCAGCGGCGGCCCACAGAGATTGAGAGCGGCGTGCCTCCGCTTCGGCTTTAGCTCGTTCTGCAATTGAATTTGCAATATGACAGACCTAAAATATTTACGGTTAAAATATCTAATGAGTGCGCCGATCTATTTTGAAATCTAGAAGTTAAGAATACTTCAAAACTTATATTTGTTAAGGTAAAACACACAAAACATCACAGAACATTGTCATTGTTCAAAATGACAGCAGGAAAAAACAAGATCAATGATTTCATCAATACATCTCCTATAAAATTATATTTTTTTTCTAATTATCTACAAGTAAATTATACTAATAAATATTCTTCGATATATTTGAAAATATAGCGATTGAAAAACGGTGTCGCTTGCTTGCTAGATTTTTTAAAAACTCTATTAAGATATGATCTATTCATAGACTAATTTTGTCAAAACTGAAGCGACAATCCGACATGCCTACAACGATCCTATTGAAAATTTAGATACCACCTATTTTTTTAGTATTTGCGCACAAATGACCCAAGATAAAAATCCTTATAATGAGAATATTGACGAAAATGTATACAAAACATTAATAGATAAAGATGCTCACGTTTTAGCGTTTGCTCGATAGCTTGCAGTTTGCCCGCCATGGCAGCCAATTCTCGCTTGAACACAACTCTCTCTTTCTCCACTTGCTCATACACGGCCCTACTGAATTTACTCATCACCTAAAAGTGTAACGAATAAAAACTGAAAATATAATTCGCACTAAAAAAATTATCTCATAATACGATTCTAAACAATAAAAGGACAAAAGGACACACTACCATGCATATTTTATTTATAATCTAAGGAAGGTGTCATAAATTTCACTTTAACATTGACATACATAGAACTGTGCATATAACGATGTTTGTTGTTGTTTATGTTAGTTTCAGAGGGCTGTGACGTCAAAACAGAGGTTAGCGTTATGGCGAGAAATGTTGAACATAAATTTAATTTTTAGATTTTATTGGAGAGATATTTTTTTATGTATTTTTTAAAGTATCTATAAAATAAAAGTATTTAAAAAAATCGCCTACACCCTATTTATGTCTTTTGCTTATGTGAAAACACTTGGAATATTTTCTCATGTGTACATCATTATGTACACTAAAATCAACATACAGTGTGAGGATTGTACTTAATATTATATAACAATACACAAAATACCAGTTGTAACCGTTCCAGATAATATTTCATCGAAAAAATATGCTAAATGTTGTCACAAAACTGTAATTCATATTTAGTACGATCAAATATTACCTCCTTTTCTTTCTTATTGAGTCTATCTTGAAGAACATCTTGTTGAAGCTCGAATTGTTTCTTCAGCTGTTCCTTCAATTTCTTATTCGCCTCTGCTTGTATTTCTAAACTCTAAACAAAATTATGAATAAATCCAAACTTAAACTAAAATATATAAAATCATAGATAGCATTTTTAAAGGAATCACTATCACTTTAAAATGGAATTGGACACATGCGAGAATTGAACTAAAAAATATAAAACTAAAAAAAGAGACAAACCTTCTTCTGAAATTCTTTCTCCTTTTCTAATTGTTCTCTCATAATAACTTCTTCGACTTTAGCTTCTATTATCTCTTTCTGGTCATGACCTATTCATTTGGAAAACGTCATAATAAAAAATGAATCTAATGACACTAATGATCTTAAGCTTTAAAATAAATCGATTCAATCTCTAAAAACTTACACTCAATTGCTCTATTAATTTTTAAGTCTCTAACTGTTTGAAGAGCAGCCAATTCCTTTTGAAGGTACTGAATCTGAAATAAATAAAAAAGGTACATTATAAATGCGAAAATATAATTCTGTCACCATTCATTCTACATCATAAGTTTCTTTTTTAAGTCACAATCGCAAGTTGTAAATAAGTTACCTAAATCAATCCAACATACATGGATTGTATCATTTTATACAATCCAACATACAAAAAACGATGTAAATCATCAAATCACAAAGTACCTGTTTCAAAGTATACAGTAGCAATAGATCTGTATCGCCTTTAATATCTAGATTGCGAGCACTCAAATCGATGCCTGGGAACAATGCTTGAAGTTCACTCTTATAAGCGTTGCGAGCCATTTCAACCTACAAAAAATGTATCATATTAAATCGACTTACTTAATATCAGCAACTCGCACCTACTTCGTGTATCTTGTATCTTGAGCAGATAATTTATAACTAACGTGACCAAACGTCCACTTTGTCGTGAACAAAAATGTCCTGTGGCCCAATTGTCCAATTTTAAAATATATTGCAATCACTTTGAATTTGCCATTTAAAAGACACAGGCTACAACTATGTGACATGTGATAGCAATTGCGGTTGTGGCTTTTTTTATAGATATTGAATATACGATTGCAAAGTGATAGTGAAAAATATGTTTGAAAGCTATTGAGAAATTTCAAACGAAATTGATTGTCTATGACATTTAAGAAACACAGGAGGAAAAGTAAGAAAATCATTTATATAGCTATACTTGAAAAATTATATAAATTCCATAAATGACTAAAACAACCGCTATACGCTTGAAAGGGCTTCTTATAGATTTTAGAATAAGGCACTTAGGCCTCAACTTTTACAAGCAAACCTTTATACAGCGTGTTTGGTAATACCTGTATAATCCCGAATATGGCACATACGGTATGATGAATAGAACCCAGAAAAATGATCACTAAGTCTGAAACCCAGCACATGACCTAGATATTCAGCTTTTTTTCTTCGAAGTAAAACTGTACGCTGACAACCCTAAAAACAGCTGTTGTGTTGTATTTGGTCATCGACTCCATGTGCCGAACTAGTTTAAAAAATAACAGAAGTTAAATAAATCTAAAGATAAATGCCTAGAATGAATATGCATCTGAGAGTAATTTGTTATTACAAAAACAAAGAAAAAGTTAGTAGTAAATGACTTTTAACCATAAAAAACACTAATCTTGTAATTAACGGTGTTTCAAAAACTAGAATTAAGAAAACTTCTCTAATAATACAGACAAAATAAAAAAGAAATTGCAAATACTTTGATTGAAGTTCAATATCTGCACCATTGCTCACATTAGTCTATGCAAGAAGGAGCGACAGAGACATAAAATTGAATTGGTGCACTTTTGATTTAGGTACATTGGTGTTCGAGTTGCAATAATAATAACCTATGTAGTTTTGGTCATCGCGTCAGTCGCGTCCGTGACTTTCATCCGCGTACTTGTGAGTTTTCAGAATTTAGAAGGTCAACTTACATTTGCGTTCTTTCAGGACTTATGGTTTGTTTTTCATTCTCGTTCTGTTTACCTGTGTGTTATGTTCGTGTGTGGTCAGTGCAATGAATTCGTACTCAAATGCCTAATATTACGAGATGATAATGTGTGGCGGTGCTTGTGACGGTAATCTTGCTGCGGCTCGGCGGCGTTATGACGAGCGCCACGTGTCAGGAAGATCTGAAAACCATCGACGTCTTCCTTCTTACCGGTGATTCACAAGTAGGCCGGCCGAACACCTATTTCATCGAGACAGAGGATATGATTTTACGTCGAGAGTAACACGACACGGTCTGTGTCGAGTCGAATGGAGATGTGTGTTTTATGCGGTGGCCGGCATATCGAGACCCTGGACTGATAAAGTGGAGGTGAAGTGTAGGTAATGTTGATAAGTGAAAGCTGAAAGAGTGATTCGTGAACGCTGTAGGTATGTACCTGTTTAATCTTAAATTGTTTTAATTACAAGTAAACTCATACGTAGTCGAGTGCGCGCGTCGGCGACATCAAAATGTATTCTAGGAAACGAGAGAGTGAGAGGTAATGAGAGAGAGAGAGAGAGAGAGAAAGAGCGAGTACGCCGGGACGGCACGTGTAAGCTTACAGGGTTGTAGCATAGTAATTGAAAACAAATTGTTCAAATATTTGTATGAAAATATCAATTTACGTGAAATTGTTTTTTGACATATCAATTGTGTTCTTTGTGCTAGGTTGTATGGCCATGTTTCGGGATTATACAGGTATTACCAAACACGCTGTATATATATACTTACTTGTCTACATTAAAACCACTAAAATCGTGCCGAAATTTCTTACGCGACGATCTCTTACAGTTTTAAACCATAATTTGTATTTTGCTCTTAAATATGGCATCTTATACCAACTTATCCTATATATATACTTATATATAGTTTTACTTATATACGAAATTCCGTAGGTTGTCACGCAGTAAAATGGCCACATTATTATAAATTATTTATATCTAGCATAATTACTTTATCATCAGAAATAATTAAAATCAGTGTGTAACAAATCTGTACTCACCTTATTCCAGTACTTATCACTGAGCACGGATTTCTCGTATTCCTCTTTATAAGCTTTCTCTGCTACAGCTAAGTCACCACGGAATTGTTTTATATACCTTTGGGTGGCAGTTACACTTTCAGGAGGAGCTTGTACGCCCGCTTTTATCATGCGATCGAGGGTATCTATAAAAAACTTAACGTATATTTACAAAGAACGACCACAGTGTAATGACTTGTGTTACCGAATTGCAAGTCATGCTTATGTTGCTTCTTCTCTTCTTATGTTATTAAAGATACGAAAGAATAAACTTAATTTTCTAATTGTGCCCAGATGGGAATCGACTCCTGATTTCTAGTACGTGAAACAGGCGTGTGAGCTACTCTATAAATAACAGAGGTCATGAAATATTAAATAAACATACCTATAGCCAGTTTAGCTTTAGATAACGCGGCTTCCGCTTTAGCTGCAGCTTTATCGCGCGCCTCTTTCGCACCTTGCACAGCAGTATAATATTTTTTATCCAAATCGTCTAAAGACAACTCGACAATCTGTCAAGATAGTATAGGTACATCTTAGTAAATTTATATACAGGGCAAGATTTTAATCAGTGCAAAAATATTTATTTAATACAGGAAAGCCTATTACTTATTTATGGTTATTAAATTTTAATATCTGTACAAAAACCTACAGTACAAGAGTCCGACTGGCTCTAAGCTGCTTTTTCAAATTCGTCAGCTCAATGCGGTAATAGTACCTTGTATAGCGCCTTGTTATAATCTGTGCAGAATTTAGTGGCCTGCTTGTAGCTGTCTATGGCCAGCTTTGTGTTCTCATGCATGTCATGCTCCAGTTCCACCATGTCTTTCGTTATCTTTATAGGTGGGAGCTGCTGTGGTTCGCATTTCTCTGTCTGAATTAGAGTCGCTGGAAAGAAATTAACTATTTTATTTAACACCACTAAAACATTCAGTAAAAATGAATAACAACTGAATTCTGGACAAGTCTTAAAAATAGACAGAGGGAATAATTTTAATGGCTTCATATATAATAAATGAGCAGCAAGAGATTTCATTTTGTTTGATTGCTGTTGTCTCCTGAATATGATTTTAACATGTAAGCTAAAAGAAGTAAATTATAAACTTTAAATGTATTTATTCCTATTACCACTTTTTAGATTTTCGTAACATTTCATTTTTAAATGATGATATTGATGGAGTTTTGTATTCAAAAAACACTATCGGTATTGAATGTAAGAAGACGCAAAAGAAAGAAGATCGGTATATCTGACAATAACATCCACCCGCAAGACTTTTACTCGGTTACTTGTTGATGACATGACGTTTGCAATAGCACCTAAATATGGAGACCTAGATAAAAATAAGGTTACATACTAGTAGTCCCGCAAAAAAACTGTTATTAGTATGTTACATACTGACCTTCTGTTTCCACTTCTGGTGTGTCTAACTTCTTTTCTTCTACATATAAAGGTTCAAAAGATGGTGGTGGCACTGTTAGATAACAAAGCAAATAATGTTAAATGGTCATTAAGCACAAGTTGTGGTATGATGAAAATTAGTGCTATGGATGCTGTTCATCTAACTACTAACCCCAAATCTACTAAAATAATTCAAAATAGGCCTGCATAGTTATTAGTAGACATTAAATAGATGAACTTTATAGATAAAAATAAAATATTGAATCCCAATTGCTACAAATGAAATAAAACATTGATGGTTTTGTAAGTATTTTGCAATAAGAAAAGTAAGCTTCACACACAATGTAATGTGCCATATTTAAAAAGTTCCATGTGAAAGCGAAAAACTCCTATCATATCATCTCTCTCGAGTTTCTATGAAAAAAAATCTTACATTGGTAATCTTTCTTGGCAAAACCTTTAGCGGCGTCTTCGTCAAGATTTTGCTCGTTTTGCTGTTTGAAGTCCATAGGAGATATACCTTCCTAAAAATGTTTTAGTATAATGAAATGTTTATTTAATATAGATATCACCTAAAAACAGCTATTATAAATAGGCAAATGTTGTTATCTACTTTAGCAATACAAAAAGGATTGCAATGCGATTTTTGACGAACTTCAACGATCATCGAAATTATAATGTTTCTAGACAAGTGAAAAAAAGGACAACACATGGATATTATCTGAGCTTCGAAAAATAACGACATATTTCGCTATTCCTCTATATCTTTTCGTTTCTGGGCAGTTGCCCGTCAACTAGGCAATTGCCTCAATTTGGAGGGCGGCACGGCAAGGCAAATTATCTTTGCTCTAATTATTTGAACCTAAAAAATAACTCATTTTTTGGACGTGAGTCCATGTCAGCAGTGTTCATAAGTATAACATTTTCAGACCAACAGTACCTAAGAAGTTTCTTTTATCATTGGCATTACACACTTTAATCGGTGTATGTAACCTATGTTGGACTTTTATTTTATTGTGATTTTTTTAAGGGCGTGATTCCAGTGTTTAATTGACCCAGCACTGTATACAGTTTAAGGCCATGACAAGGTACATAAAAAATACTTTTTCACCACATGAAAGCAATAAATTCAAGGACCTCAGATTTCAATTTAAATCATATTTTATTTGCCATTGCAAATAAAAATTTCGTTATTGCAATAAAGCCAATATTAAGCATGCTTATATATACATGATAATCTTCTTGAAGTAATGTGAAGAACAAATCAAAAAGAAAATTGCATACAATAAATTATCAGAATGATAATTTGGTGCCAAATATCATCCTGGATTATATTATATCTTATCTTATTATAACAGAACTCATGTGATTTACATCCATTTTCACTAACCTAGAACAAGGCGCAGTTTAACTAGAAAATGCTTAATATTACGAGTTGCCTATGCAGATTAGTTTAATTAAGAAAACTTTTTTTTTTCTTTTATCCCTTGACATATTTATGACCTATCATATACGCAAACTCCTAGAGCAAGGCGTCGCATAACGAATACCATAATTTTAAAAATTATTTAATTTAGTTAGGTGTTTCCTAGTCAATTGTGAAATGCATTTTTATTTTCAGCGATTCCTAAATATTTAGGCGACAGATTTGGGCGATTCCTAAGCTTAGTGAAAACGGGCATTAATCTAAGTAAATACTATAGAATATATAAACGACAAATAGCAGTACATCAATTATTACATGAGATCAAATTGGCGCAATCAAGGGGGTCATGTCAAAAACTATTTTTTTCTATCTCAGATAGATCATTGAGAAATATAAAGCATTTTTTTTTAAATTTTCGATTATTCGATAAGTAACGGCGATCATTCGAGTTGAAATGTCATATGACTATATTTTTTGCATAGTTGTGACATAATGAGCTCCACTCCTTAACTTTAATGCCCATAATATTACCTAAATCATTCATTAATATGATGGATATTTTTTTTGAATTAGCTTAAGGCTAAAAACCGATTGTAGAATTTTGGTCTCGTACACACATAACATGACATACTGTCAACTGCACATCACACAATTATTATGACACCTTTAGGAATGCAAACCATTGTCACAGTTCAAATTATTCATCAACTCAATTTCCATTCTAATGCTCTCTTGGACAATAGAAATAAAAACTGTAAATAGTATTTACCTTTCCAAACATAAAGTTACTTAGGGATTTAGATACTTTGTTAAACTGATTGATAGTGAATTTCCAGTAAGTTGTATTTTCCTGATAGACAAGCGCCACAAAGTCATTAGCCCAAGGGGCATTTGATTCAAGCCAGTTTCGCGCGTCAGGACTGCTCCTATGATAAATAGTAATTATATGACATAAATTATTAACATTCATAAAAGCAAAAAAATAATAATATAAAACATACCATTAAACAGTTGTTGTAAGCTTAATCAGCATTTGTAATAATAAAAGACAGTATTCTTAGTGATAAATTTGTTACAATATCTAACATAACACTAAGAACATGATTTAGTAGATTTAGTAGATATAGAAATACTTTGATGATTACAAATAGATTGGAAACAAGGCAAAAAATTAATACTAACTTGGCATATACGACGGCAGCACCGGTGAGAACAGTAGCACCTATTGTGCCCCACAATAGCTTTCTAGATTTGGGCTTGGCTGGCGGTGTTGGTGGACACTTGTTGTCAAAGTGGGCGAACCGTCTCGGTGCCCTCATTACTATTAAAGCTGAGCATGTTCCATCACCTAGTTGTTTCCTTACCTAAGAGTTTAAAAAAGCTTTTACCTCACTAACAGTGCAATCACAGATGTGTGTTAAATATTTCTTGTCTTTTCATGCTTTTATGATGTCTATTACTAAATTAAGCTAGTGAAAAAGTCAAGTTTATGCTAGATACATAGCTGATTTTTCAAGATTTTCAAGGTTTTTCAACCCAAATTATGTTTACCATCTAATCAATTATCAAATGAGTTTTAAACTACTACTTAATTATTTGACAATGGCATGGCAAATAAATGCAACATTTTCAAACTTAACGCTTAAAATTTAATTCAACAATCTCAATGCTAAACATTATTTAGAACAAACAAAATCAAAATAATAATCTATACTGATTTTATAAAGAGAAAAGATTTGATTGTTTGTTTGCATTGCATTGGATCCGAAACTAAGGGACCAATTTTAAAAATTCTTCCACATAGAGTATGCTGTAGCATTATACGGGGTTAAATTTAAGCGTGCGAAGTCGCGGGACTATTGAACGTATTGGATTGTTAAGTAGCGAGAAATTCCAACTTCTTGCAATAAATGCACTTTGCAACTATGTTGTTATTTTAGGTTATTTGAGATTATGACGTCCGATGATTGTTATGTAAGGAACAACAATACTATAAGACAGTTCAGCATAAGGTTGCACTAAAATTTTGGAATGATAACTATCTCTTTTAAGGTCAAATATTCATAAAAATGACAGAGTTTCTCTTCAATAATCTTCAAAACACACAGGAGTCACTGAAGAGTTCATTATTCACTGAATTAATTTACTACAGGATAGAAGTGATTTGTCACTAAACATAAGGCTAAATTGTAAACATTTCAACGTAAACTTACCAACACCAAGTTAGCATTTGCTAAATGATTTGTGAATTTGTACATTTTCGGCACTAAATCTCTTTCCACTTGGGCTGTCAAAACACCAGAGACTACAAAGACAAGATAGAGAAATAGAATATACCCACAGACCCTAGATTTTTTCGATGTTAATAATATATTAATATATATTTTTTTTTAAATGCTTTTAAAAAAAGTTCATAGTATAAATAATAAGTGCATAAGACTTAAAATCTGTAGCAAAACCACTCAATACATTATTTTACCTTATCTAAAATGTCCTGAATTGAATATTTACAAAAAATTATATCAATTTACACTCAATTTTGAGTATTCATTTAATTTTATACCAAATTGACTGACTGGTTAACACAAAATATTTAGAAAACTCCTACCTACACCTTTCTATTGCAGAACGATTACATTTTGTTTTTATTTCAGATTAATTATTTCAATCGTACTCTTACTAAAAGGTCTGTTTTGATTTGTGTCAAATCAAATTACTGTCACTGTCATAACTGTCATCCGAAACTACTACGTAGTATCTCTTATTGGTCTGTGACTACTACCTACTACTACTACTATACTGAAGGCATGGAAGCCAGGGCCGATACACCCTTTTTTTTTAAATACTACTACTACTACAAACTGTCACCCTATTGTCAATGTCAATATCAAATATTATCTGAGAGAGTCTTATTATGAAACGATTTATTTAAACTAACCTTGATTCCTAAAACAAAATGTTTCGATACGCTATATCAGGTACTAAAAATATGTTATTTAAGGAGCTACTTATATATCTTTGCTTGTGTTACTGAACTATTAATTTTAGTTTTCTATTATTGACGAATATGTGACGGCTTGTTTGAGGTTATTTTATTATTTTTTAGGTTTACGCGCTATACGACCTTTAACAAAGCAATATTTTAAGGCGGCCAGGATTATTAACAATGATCCCAAAAGCTATGCAACATACAATACTTTACAGATGAAGTCCCAGTCAGAACAAACTATTTCTAAGGGATCATTGTTGGCAAACAGACATATTTTGGATATTTCTAATAATATAACATCAACACCAGTAAGAACTGTCACGAAATTTAGCTTTAATAAAGGAAAAAGGAAGACTTCTAAACCAGTTACAAGGAGATTCTTCAGACTATATTGGGGAGCATGGATAAGACCTAAAGTGGGTAGACAAAAGAAGTTATGGAAAAAGTCTTCAGCACAAAAGAGACGTCTCAGGCAACACGTTTTCTGCACAGCAACACAAAATAAACTATTGGACAAAATGGTTACAAAATTTTGGAAGCGACCGAAATATTATGTTGATGACCCCTATACACCATACCATACTAGAGAGGAATTTGCCATAACCAGAAAAAAGCCTCTTGTAAGGGACTAAATACAATAACAAAATAAAGTTGTAGAAACTGTATTTCATTATATCAAATAAATGTGAAACCAAAAATTATTACATAATTTATTATTGGTAAACTTAAAACAACATTAATCAACATGTTTTATTTTATAGTTGAACTTCTATATTTCTTTGGTTTAATTATCATATAGTACAGGATCCCACTGCTTGATCCTGCAGCTATTTGTTTTTTTGATGAAATTAATTTCAAATGAAAGTTAAGAGAGCATTCAATAGATTAGTGATAAGCAGAGGTCGGAATTAGGTAGAGTTATTTATGTACTTGCATTGAAATGTTGATATAAATGTGGACCTTCCTGGGATTTCTTTATTTTTTCTTTCTTTCATTGATGTAAGTTTGGAAACGTCATGCGTGCAGTAGTTTGCAGTAGCTCTTTAAAATTAATCTCGGTATTTGAGGCATATCCACTTTATTCTTTTGCTGTATGAAATCAGTGTAAGTACATGAATAACTCTACCTAATTCCGACCACTGGTGATAAGTTGCCTATTCAAAATTAGCCGCAATTACCTGTAATTGATTTTTGTATAATTAATGTGGTTATATACATGCAGCTATGTTTTTTTTTTAATAATTTTGATGTCAATTCAAAGCAAATATATGCTGAGAATAGAAAAAGGAATGGTCGCCAGCTCTAAGTCAGCCGCTACGCTAAGGTTGCCAGGTGTAAGTAGGTATATCACTGTGAATTATTTAGTCATCTGTTTTTTTTTTTAAATTCTAATGCATTATTAAAGTTTTATTTTTCCTGTTTACAATAATCCATGGTTATCAGTTTAAAAATGGCTGCAATCAGAGGTTGCCATGATTTCACTCAAAGATTCTCCCTCCAGGTAAGTGTGTGTATGATCTTTTATTGACAATGTAAAAAACAATTTTTCATACAAATTATGTACACAATATACTTAACCTTAAATTTAATCTTACAATTATTCATATATTAATTTGTTTCATTCTCGTTCTGTATCAGTACCATCTGAATCATCAGAGCTATAATCTGCATCCATGCTTTCTTCTATGTGTTGTTGATGTTCATCTAAAGTCAATTCTTTTGATGCATTTTGCTACATGCAATTTAAAAAAATGGTCCGCAATATTTTCTGTTTTAATGATCGAACAGTGGGATCTTAGCCTAATAGATGTATTCTTAATGATCTTTCAGTCGTGGGTTCGAGTCGCATCTCTGAGTGCCAGGGACAAAGTGGATTTTTAAGCATTTTTCATCAAGAATATTTTTCAGTATAGGCATAGCATTGCGAATGCAAAATTGATATAATGATTGTAGAAGTAGTTGATGATATAAAACACTTTTAAGCATTACTAGGGTTCAATAGTGGTAATATAAAAAAGCGTAAGAAGTATTTAAAAATAATAAACTACAAAAGTTTATTTCACTAGATGGCAGCACAAATTGTAGGATCTAAATACTTCCTGTATTTAAAAAAAAAGTAAGCACTAAAAAGCACCTCCACTTGATGGCGATTCTAGCAAAAGTTGATTTTTGCAGGAAACGAATGGACAAAAGACAGTCATTTCCGTTCCTATTAACTAATATATTAAAAATTGAAATTTGAAAAGTTCGAAACTTAGATATCAATACAAATACGAAAAAGTATAAGTATAGAATATGAGTGGTTTATTGAGTTTTGAGAACTAATTTACTTTTAAACATGAAAGAAAACCGGCAAGGTTGTCATGAAGAAATCAAAAACGTACCGTGGCGACATCTAGTTAGATTTCGGGAACTAATGTTTTTTTTTAATACTTGCTATTTTTTTTTAATATTGCTATACAGTTTTGTATAGCCGGCATTTTTTTATATTATTTTTTTCATTTATATGTCGGCAGCACTTTGCACTATGTAGAAATTCCAGAAATTCATGAATAGTAAAAATGACTCTGGACCCATCCTCCTTACAACCATCTTTATCCAAGGCCTGAGCCCTTGCAGTTGAGTTAAAAGGGCTGATGATGAAATAAAATTTCTATTTACATTGCAACATATACAGGGTGTTTGGAAATACATGTATAATCCCGAAACATAACACAATACAACCTAGCACAAACAATTAATATGTCAAAAAACAATTTCACGTAAACTGAGATTAAACCTGGAAGCTTATCCGTGCCGTCCTGGCGTACTCGCTCTCTCTCTCTCTCTCTCTCTCTCATTATCTCTCACTCTCTCTCGTTTCCAAGAATACATTTTGATGTTGCCGACGCGCGTACTCGACTGCGTATGAGTTTACTTGTAATTAAAACACTTTAAGATTAAACAGGTACATACCTAGAGGCAGCGTTCGGCGCTTCGTATAATTATGACAGAACTTCACTTGGTAAGTTCGTTTAATCATTAATTATACTTCGCGCCTCGTTCTCGAGATTAGTATTTATTTGATTAGATTATATTACTAGTAGACTTTGAGAGTTGAAAAATAGATTTAGGAAATATCATCAATAAATGACGATAACTTGCTTTTTATATATATAAGTATTTATTAATTATTAACAAAAAAGAACATAAAGGGAGTTGTTCAATTTTGGCTTTTGGTGGACAAGCTAATAAGTAAAAAATATGTAAACAGTAAATTATTATTAAAAGTGAAAGAAAAAGTATTTTTAATACTCTCGTCATGGGAAACTAAACATTAAAAATATCACATAAAAAAGTATTTTTTGGATTCGGTTGTGTTTTGTTAACATATTTCACTGTGTTTCCATATCAATAAATGTTATTGAAGTACTATTACTAATAGTATCGATTAATCGATAAGTTTTAACTTTAATAAAAATAAAAGTAATTAAAGTATTTATATATTAATACATATACATTAGGTAATCTTTTGCAATATCATGTATCATATATATTAAAAACATAAGAAATAATCCTTTTCGGTTACATATATAAGTTAATTTACACAAACCATCGATTACTTTTTAATCGATTAATAATTTTTATAGGGCAGCACCATTTCACTTTTGTCAACAAAGGCATTTGAGTGATAATGATAATTCTTACGTTTTGATTTTGTTGTAACTTTCGACCAATTTATTTATTAACCTCTCGAAATGATGACTCGGCTATACCTATGGACACTAAACCAAGCACAAGTAGAGGACATCGTCGGCAGCTTTGTATAAATTGTGAAAGATCTATATTACGTACTAGATCACATCTGCAAAAAATATCCTTCAAAGAAACACATTAGTAATATAATTGGATATCCCCACGACAAGTAGAATTATAGTTATTTTTATTTATTATGATTATTTTACCATAATTAAGCTTCCTTTATAACAAGTAAAAGATTAATATATCGCTGCCATATCGTTTAAGTAACATTTTGTTGACAAATAATTTAATATTATATTATACTCTTTAGGTGTATGGCAGATCCATATCGCGTCTGTCATCCATGTTAGCAGCAAGCAGATATAATATTCCGGAACCTATACAGATCATTACCGGATTATAAAAGAGCACCTGATTCACAAGTATATTGTTTTGTTCCTGGTTGCGACTCACCACAGCGACTGACCGTTCCCACATGGTATCAGGTAAAATTGTTTATTATTTTTGCCTTATTATTGTAAAAATAGTGATACTAGTTTGTGAGCTTTGTGCCTCTTATCCTTACTTATATTATAAACTAGAAAGATTTTATTGTTAGTTGAGCTTGTTAACAAACTTCGAAACTACAAGACTGATGTAAAAAAATCCTTTTACTTAAGGGAAGCTACATCTTTTATCAGGATGATATAGGCTACTATTTACATGTGCAAAGGTGTGGGAATACTGTACTTGTAGTTCAACATTTAATGTTAATTTATTTTTTAATAGTAATGTATAAATGTACTGGATAGGTGTTTTAAAATAGTTCTTTCTGTTAACAGACGCAGATGTAAATGTGAGTCTACAGCCATTCCAAGCCGAAGAGTTGTTCTCGAGGGTGAGCACAATTTAGAAGAATAGTTGTGTTTGACTGCAAGCACACATCATGAGAGGCCATGGAAGATTTAACGATAAGGACATCATGTGACCAACTTATATAAAGGTAGCTGCTTTTTTGACCACCCGAATGCCAGCCTCCAGCTGAAGACAAACTGTATGAGCAGTGTAACTTATTTATTAAGTGATTATGTAAAGTCTATTCTTATTAATAAGTGTATTTAGAAGTACTGTCTTTTGCTTGTAGAATTGTATTGTCAAATCAAAGGTAAATATGTGTAAATCTACAATTTCTTTATTTAACCATCTCTGCTTCTTATTTCTAACCTAAAAAAAAATTATTATGATGATAATGTAATTAAAGAATTTTACAAAATATAAGTTTTTCTTTACACCGTTTATGGAATACTACACATGCTTATATATATACAATATTAAACTTTCCCATGAAAATATTATAAAAGTTACTTTCCTTAAGATATGAAATATTGAAAAATAATGTTTTTTATAACTGTAGATAATGTCCACTCAAAGCCAAAGTGCCCATACAAACTGAACAATTCCTTTTGACATTTATTTCCATTCTAAATTATAGTATAGGTAGTAATTACGAAATTTTGATACACTGATTTATTTATTTAATGGTCAATAATTGATTGGGCTAATGATGTACAACCATGATTATGAATAGGCCTGTTGTAAAATCGTGCGAACACGGTAGAGTTGCCCCTCCAGCCCGCAGTATTACGGATCGCACTGACGGCTTTTTAATACCTATAAACAGAGCATCAGATTTTCTTAAGGGAGTTTGTCTCATTAATATAACATAGTAGTGTTTTTGCTGGACACACATTTGGCCTACTATTGAAAAATGGTAGATAAAGTATTGGTTTCTCACGACCTGGTTTTGAAGTCTTAATAATTTGTGGTATTTTAATAACAACCTGACTGTGAGATATGTGTATGTTTTTGATTTCGATTTTTGACAACGTTTGCATTCTATGTGCTGTAGTTAATG